ATTTCTTAATTTAGAGATTAAGGATAAGGTTTAACAATCAAATCATTCACTGACTACATAAAGTCAAAGCAAAGAATATTCATGGCGATATACCGAGACACAGGATGTTGGACAGTAGAGATTTTCTAAACATTGCTAGCAAATACGAAAAATAAATGCCTAACCAACTGAGTTTAAAATGATAAAAACGGACTATGAGCCCCCTTATATCATTTTATGAAGTGATTTCCACTTTTGAGTCGTCCAACATGAATTTGACAAGAAGAAGAAGAAGAATGAGCGACAGAAATTCATCAATTCTTACAGAAGTAAGAACATTTACAAAAAGCATGCCATTGCCAAAAATTATATGTCAGCAGCAACTGACTTTATTAGATTTATGATTATGTCATTTGTTGGTGCACGGTAGTGCCCGTTCTCCTTAGTGGTAGGTAGGTATTTAATCGGAACGCAATCTGATACGTTTGTTTCAGTGTTACAAACAACCTAAGATACCTGATTCATATGCCCCACGGCGGTGCTATATGAAACCAACCGCTCGCGTAGAGTCTGGAACAACTTACAACATGTCCTACCTGCCGGTGGAAGGCTGCCAGAATCTTCGCGGGGTGGCGAGGAAGCCTGCGCCTAACTTGGTGCCCAGCTGTGAGCCTATGGAATGCTGCACCGTGCAGAAGGTACGACGTAATTAAAGATTAACATTCATCGTCAACCCTTTTACATCCCCGCTACAGGGGTCAGGCCTTCCTTGTGGATAGATGACACTCCACGCTGGCCCAACGCAGTTTGAAAGGTATAAACGACTATAAATGCAGCCGGGAGCAAGGGCCTGACATGCTTTCCGAAGTAACTTGAGATAATTTAAGTTTTTTGGTCATCCTCCCGTGACTGACCACGACAACAATGATCATGGGCCGCTGCGCTTATCAATTACGCTATCGAAGGATTAACATTAGATGTATTAATTTTAACTGAGCGTTTTATTAACCTTAGTTAAATCAATTCAGCTCGAAGTTAGATTTAAGAAAATAGCCATATTTTGTTAAGTTTGGACAGATTTGTTCAACGTTAACTAATTGTAAAACTATACGCATCCACTCGCCTGGCGGAAGAGAAACATTAATGTGGATTTTCAAATGCTCAGATGTTTGGATTGATGGCATTCGAAATGGATTTTCTTTTTTTTCCTATCTTATCCCTTACCATTAGACATTTAAATTTATCGAAGCATCTGCGACTTTGCGACTAGACTTGGTTGCACAATGGAAGTCAAACATATTAGATAATATTGAACTGCCTTTGAATATCTGATTGAAAATTAAAAAAGCAAATTTTTACCAGCTCTCGTTCCTACCGAACCCGGTATGTGCGACTCAAGCGATTCGTCCGTGCCACCACGATATGTGGGGTCAGGGTCCAATGCAGAACATCACCACACAACGGCACGACTACGTCCCCAAGCCTTGTGTGTTGAGGGAGAGCTACAAGCCTCCTGCAAAGTTCCACTGCGTTGAACAGCCGTTTGAAAGTGAGATTTGTTAGACTGAAGTTACCGAATTCGGAATAGGTAACATCCATAATGGATATATTACTGTAATTCCTTCCTTAGTTGTTCCTATTAGGAGAGTGAATTTTTCATGAAGTCCAGCAAATCCACAATCTACTTTCAGATTTGCTTGACCTATTTCAGAGATTTTAGGATGATTTAGGAGGGATTTGCAGTATTTTTCCATATTTGGCTACTTTCCTGAACCTAGCTTGTTTTGTCCATTTTGGACTTTGGACTTTTGGAATTTAAAAAATACATTGAGTAAGAACAACATGCTGGCAATGTGTCGCCGTTTCACTTTTCATTAGCCATTTATGACAACAATAACTAAAGAGATCGAAGGTGTTGTGTGAAAATTTTTCATGTGCGACCTGCGCGTTCGTGATTTCTTAGCTTGATATGTATATATGCGTGTTCACTTAAATTAGGAGTAAGAGAATTACATTTTCTTTATTGAATTGAAATCTGGCAAATATGGGTTTTTTTTGCATAAGTTTAATAATTTGTTTCGTTTAGATCGCACGATAAACAAGTTGTCTTATTTACCACCCGAGAAGATTGAATTGACGAAATCATATGCCCCCGAGCGCTGCTACGAGAAACCGGCCGCCAAGATGGATGGAACTACGACGCACAAGATGAGCTATATGCCCAATCAGGTTTGTGATGTAATTTATTCGTGTCCCCCTAAACGTTATCAGGTATTCATTCTTAAAGTTTACCTTTACATTATTTGTAAATATTAATCATTTTGCAAATAAAAATTGGAAATTCGTAAAAAACTCCTTTTTTATATCTGATATTTTTATATGAACTAAAAAACTCGGAGTTTTTTATGATGGATACTATTTGTTCGAATTAAATCTTTAATTCGCTCTATATTGAAAAGTTTGCCTTAAACAGAATGAAATTAAAGTAAAGTCAGCCCACTTGTTATTCGGAGAGAGAGAGAAGTAATTTAAAACTGATAAAATACATTTGTCTGAAGATAATGCCGAAAGAACCAGTACCCTGGGCTTGTAAAGGCCAATATCAAAAACCTTGCCAAGCGCTGGAAGGCAATACCACTTACACAATGAGGTATTTCGGAGATTTCCTATTGATTATCATATTTGTAAATTTTACATTTAGAATGCTATATGGCCTGTAAAAAATACAAATTTGATGCAGTAGTCTCAGGTCCGAGATGGCATTCGAAACTACTTTTGCAATCCGGGCATCTGCCTATAGGACTTTGCATGTTCTTCTTCTAAGAAAACAGATTCTATCATTTGAACGATACATTGGCAAATTTTCACTATAGGTATAGCTATCATCATCAGCCTTTTTACGTCCCTACTGCGGGGCTCAACCCTTCCTTATAGATGGTTAAGGAGGATAGTCCACGACCCTCCACGCTGGCCCACTATGGATTGGAGGATATTAACGACCGCAAATGCAGCCGAGACCAACGGCTTAGCGTACCTTCTGAAGCATGGAGTAGCCCGACATAATAATTTTTGGATGAAACATCCCGTGACCGACCCTTGTGAAAGTTGCTTAACAACAACGATCGCAAGATACCACTTTATATCAGATTAGATACTTACTAAACGCAAATCAAATGGCGTATGTAATTTTGGATGCACATTTAGCAGGTATATAATTCATTGATGGTTCGTTTGTCTTATATCCAAACCATGATCCAACATGCATTTGAGCTTCTATTGTATCTAAAGCTCTGCTTAACCACTGCTAATTGTCATGGGATTAGAACACGGAGTTTAAAATAATGACAATCTATTCATAACAGTTACCTAGATGCGAAGAGTGACTGCCGAAGGCGAGCCATTATACCAGACAGCTGCACTAATCCTGTAACCGCTTCAAAGAGATTCGAAACACAGACCATTTATAAGAACAGGTGAGTATCTTTTGTTCATAATATAGCTTCTGCTAGAGCACATGCACAGACCTTTCTTATGAATAGAATTCCATACCTAGTAATAACAGGCCATTATCCAACACGCGGGGCCAGTGCAGATTGGGGGATGTTAATGGCTGTAGATACAGCTAGGACTAATGACTTAGAGCCTTTTGAAGCACAAAGGAGCTGGATAAGTAGGTATAATAAATGTTTAGTCACCACTTATGATAACAGTCCTTGCAAAAATTGCTCAACTTACGCAATAGTAAATCTACCTCACACGCTCAGAGCTGCGCCATCGAGCTCCTCGTCTTTAGTTACTAAGTATATTATACACGACTCTTTATTTCTATTTTTTTAAGTAACTTTAAATATATTGATATTATTTAGGCACCAAGAACTAACCTATTAAATATTTTGTTTAAAAAAATACAATTCCTAATAGAATCTCAATATAATCCCAGATTATACAAGTAAAATCAATAACCAGCCCTGCGATTCTGTAAAAATTCGAACTCGAATTCACTCAGGTGTCCAAATTCACTTCAAAAGCGACATCCATTCAACCTTGAATTAATAATAAGCAAAGTGAGTTTCGAAATGGCATAGTGATAGAATATATTTTTATTGACATTCACACCATAAAATTACAATAACAAAACCAGATAATAACTTACAGAATAATTTGTAATAATTTATATACTAAATGACGAGAATTTGGGCACACGAGTGAATTCGAATTCGGGTTCGAATTTTTATGGAATCACTCCCCAGATGTCATAATTTTGGGAGTGTGGCATTTGTACTATCCAACTCTACCAATATACGGACTACGAGTGAAGCTGTTTTTTTTTTCTAGCTATTTACCAGCTAAAACTCCTATACCGCAGCCTGTAAAGCCATTGCCCAATTTAGTACCATCGACAGCTCAAATGGAAGGAGATACAGTTCATAAGGTATTACAATACTGCTTTTCCCTTTTAAAAAGTATAACAACTATCTTAATTTGCAATAGATTATTAAGTTTCGATGACGATGTAGGTACATACCATAATTATTTACTAAAAAAATATTACCTTGACAATAGAGTCGAATATGCAGACTAACCAATACCCTAGGCTAGAGCAGCCAAAACACTGGAACAAATACATTGACGTGTTACCGATGCATAAAATAATAATTAGGGCTTTTCGTTACATTCGATATTGCTTATCTGAATTTATCGGACAAAACATTTACAGGTACGATATTCATTCCTGTTTCCCAAAGGACAGTGATTAGGTGACGACAACTCAATTTGTAAAAAGATTCTACAGATATACCTCTTCCTTCAAGTACCTTATCGCCGATCGATGCATACATGTGGGTCACTTGTTTGCTTCACCGATTTAGATTGCTCAAGACATCAACTACCTTGTTCAAGCTTCTTGGAGTCATTAATTATACGCGGTCATGAGCAATCACATCAGCTTCCTGGTTCCACAGCTATCATTCCTGCCGAACCCGGTGTGCGTGACGCAAGCGATCCGTCCATGCCACCACGACATGTGGGGTCAGGGCCCGATGCAGAACATCACCACACAACGGCACGACTACGTGCCCAAGCCTGTGGTGCCAACAGAAAGCTTCAAGCCACCAGCAAAGTTCCACTGCGTTGAGCAGCCGTTCGAAAGTAAGCATTTGTCTTTCATCCAGAATAATCATCCAAATAAATCATCCAAACTAGATTATATATACTTTTTATAATAACAAAGTTTTATAATAACATCATCAGTTACTTAGCCTACGTAATTGCAGATCGAATACGTTAATCGGTGTCGATGTAAATTCCGTAGAAACATTTGATATGTGGGCTATGACTTCTTTAACAATTTGCTCATAAAAAAACGAATAATCTTTGTTCTAGATCGTACTGTGAACCGCATGTCGTATTTGGATCCCGGCAGAGTACCACCGCCAGAGTCGTACGCACCTGCCAAATGCTATGAAAAGCCTTCAGGTAAGATTTACTTATCTAATATCTTGATATTACGTAAGTACATAATACTTTAATCTGGTAAAAAAATCTCAGTATGCCAGCTACAATGTGGATTATTAACGATTTTTTTATTAAGAATATAAATCACGTCTTTCTTGATTATTTTCAAATTCGAACTTTTCATAATATATTATCATATTTCACGCAAATCATCAGTGGTCATCTTTTTTCTCGTTCTGTGCTACGCGTATTATTAGTAGCAAATAGACTTACTAGTTATGTTTTCTTTCACGGACTATTCAATAAAGTTGTATTAAAGCTACTAATTTCAATCTAATGAACTTTACTTGAAAACCATCACATTGAAAACAATCATTCTTGAAGTGATTGCGCAATACTAACGCACTTTTTTTTCAAGCTAAAATGGAAAGTGAGACGACACAAAAGATGTCATATCAGCCTGTATGTGTCCCCTCGCCGCAGCGACCGCCCTGGGCCTGTAAAGGGCAGTACCAGAAGCCGTGCCAAAGGGTATGTTATATCTTCTTATTTATCTCTCAGGTATAGACACTAAAGCTCTTCCAGGAAAGATAGAACCGAGCGCCTCGAACACACTCCTTTTAAATAATACAACACATAAACAATTATGTAGCTATTACAAGCACTTATGAATATCGAAAGTCTATGCTATCGGTTCGCAAATCTACAAGGGCGACCTTGTACTAAGAACAATCGGCAAAAACTCGGCAAGAGCTGCTTTTTTACTCCCGGTTTTATATCATACAGAGAAGTCAATTGGATTTCCCGCGACTTGTCCCAAATCACCTAGTCGAAATCGGTCCAATAAATTTGCTAAAAATTAAATCATTAATATAGATTAATATGATATAGATCTTAACTTTTTTAACTTTTAATGCATTCTGATGAATAAGATGCCTTGAAAACCAATAGATCTAAATGCCCAATTGAAATAATTTTTATTTTAATCCAGCTGGAGAGTACCACAATATACAAGTCTTCATTCATGCCCCCGGGCGAAGACTGCACTCAATACATGGACCCATGCTCATATGGTGACTGCAAACGTAAGTACCTTTAGATTACACTTTAATGTTAAATTTACCCTTTGGCTATTGAGATGGCAGCTTTATGCTGTACAAGTTACACTATAAAATCGCTCAATACGAATTCAATTTGCACTCTACTAATAACGTGCTAAGACATATTTCAAATTGAAACTGAATAGTCCTTTCTATCCTCAATTGTGCTTTTCAAATACCTCTATGCCCCATTGCTGAGGCACAGCCTTCCTTAAAGATGAAATCGAATAGGGAGAATGAGTCATGACTAGGGTTGCCAACTGTACTCTATTAGTGTCGTACACTATATCATGTAGGCGTGCCCAGTACCTAGTCTATGATATATAACACTAATAGGAGTCACTGAAATACTGATACAATATGATGAAATATACATCCATAAGCACACTGGACGCATACTGGTATTGTCGTTACCAAAAATAAGTACAAACTATACCAAAAAATATAAACTCTTTTTTTCTAAGTCCACACTCAAAATTTACCTCCCTTGAAATCGGATATAGGTATTCTTAAAGTTGGTAACCCCAGCAATGATTAGACCTTCCAAAACACAGAGACGGAGACGACTCGTGATAATATTTTTTTTGCTCATTCTATACCCAGCCCGTTCTATTATCCTATACCCCGGCCTTGCTTAACTTCCAGATCGCAAAAAATAATTAGAGTATTTTATTTGTATCTAGCTTGTGACTGCATATGCCCAGCGGAGTGCATAGCGACAGATCCTTGCGCGTGTAACTTCCCGAAAGCAGCGTGCTGCAGCTAACCGCCACCATATTGCTAATTTTCAAGATGGCGTCATACTGTGAAAAAACGATTTAAGATTTTCTGTGATAATATTTTATATAACTTATATCGTTGTGCAATATCTATAAATATTTAATTGCCATTGTATAGATAAATTGTGTTAAGTAGACTTAGATACTACAGGTTAAAAGTTGAGGAATCGTTTAAGAGCCTTAAATTAACAATATTAAATCTGGGGACTGTAGGTGGTACGTACCCTCAAGTTTATACAAAAGGGGTTTTAATTGTCGACGTTGTAGTTCTATACCTAATTATGTTTAAATTATAATTTGTTATCATTTATTTGTATTAAATGATTTTATAAATACAACTTTTTTAATTAAACTCACTCTTAGAAAGTTTGGTAAACCACTATATAAACATATTTAGTAATTGAAATATGAATAATTCTGAAATTTCTTTCTGTCGCCTCTTTCTGTGCGTATCATTCTGATAACTGTGCGATCACCTTATTCAATGAGATTACTCGATTTGTAATGTGTTAGCATACCTGGGGAACATTATTTTATAAAGACTTCCGACTTCCTGTTCGTTTGTCCATAATTTATTATGGATTTCTTTCAATATCACCGTCATCAGACAATTATAATCAGATATAATAAATCTATGAATAAAATAAATTGCAATAAAATAGCCTTTATTAACTAGTTAGGATTTAATTACACGACACCTATAAAGACTTCGTTAAAGGACAAGAATCTGGAAGTTTAGCAAATCGTAATCTTTCGTAAGAGTCCTGCATGTATCTGAAAGTTACATCAAGTGTTTATTCATTAAAACTACACTTCATAGTGTAGTTTTAGGGAACAGTGACAATGCTAGTATTTCTATCTGTGCTGCCAAGTTCGATCTTAAATTTTTCAGTTTAAAAAATATCTTTCCTTGTGGAGTTGCAAAATATTACTATAATATACGTATAATTTGCTATACTTATATGTATAATTTGCTAATATAAATTCTTTAAAACATGGTACTTCTATTCTAAGTCTCGTAATTTAAAAGTCTTTTAGTTCCTGAAACTATTTCTAAGCTGTTATAAGGATTTAATGAATTTTTAAAACGATCAACTGGCGCCGAAGATATTTTACATGATCATATTTTGGTAAGTAATCAGCGTTTGAGTATAGACCCCGAAAATTACCCCCAAAAATATGCCTACAACGTTGAGGGGTATTTGTAGGGGTACTTTTTATACTTGCTTACCGCCAGCGAATTCACCTGCGTGGTCCTGTACTATATCTATACATATAAACCTTCCTCTTAAATCACTCTCTATATTGAATCATGACAATTTATTTGTCAGTTATATTCGGCATTTATCTGGTCTCCAAATAAGTTATTGTACGATATTAAGCAGGGGTTGGCGACTCACCGCAAGCGATCCTTTACCGCCACGGGTTCCGAGGGCTGGGTTCTGGAACGGGGTGCGTCGACGCGGTTAGCAGCGAAGATATCATACACGATATATAGTCCATAGGCACTGATCCACCGTTCTTCCGAAATGTGCTTATTCTCGATAACGAACAATTCACCAACCTCAATCAAAATTAGGTGCGCGCAGTTAGCAATTTGAATTCACAGTTAAAACCGTCACCCAAGGATTAAGGGTGGGGATTTGGAACGAAGACAGCTAATCGCCTTGCCCATAGACAATAAAAAATTTACCCACAGTTGTGTTGTCTTTGTATAGTTAATTATCAATCATCTGTTTCGTTACGGAACAGTTATAAACATTTCAAAATAACTTTGGGATATGTGCTTTTTGGGAGTTGGGCTTCCAGGGCTTTAGGTTCGGTATGGTCATAAAATATGGCCAGCTCAATATTGAAACACATTTAACCAATAACTAAATTCAAACTTTATTACAAAAGTCATACTTCACTTGGTTCCAATCACAATCACTTGGTTCCAATTTACAAACAGTATTGAATTTATCATTGATCATTAAATAAATCTTGTATTAAGGGCCAGTTTTTTGATCCGTAGTCAAATGACATTTCACCATTTGTTAACTTAACTATAGTTAAAACATTAACAAGTTGTTTACTCTTCTTCTTCTTTTATTAATGGCTTATCTGCGCATTTCGCACAATTCTGCCAATGTCAAGTAAATTAATTAATTTCTACATGTAAAATGAAAATGAAATAAATGAAAGATGATGATGGATCTGTCTTGTTTACTCTTCTTCTTCTTCTTAACTTTAATGGCACTTTGCGTCACCACATTACTGCCAACTTCACGTACGAGACCATTACACGATTTAAATACATTCATTCAACAAAACAATTTTCAATTGCCAAATTTAACCAAATTTGGCTATGGTTTAATTTGGCAATTGAAAATTGTTTTGTTGACAATTTGGTCAACAAATTGGTCAGTTTGTTAAAAACTGACCAATTTGTTGCCAGCACAATGAGTCGTTTTTTTGCTATACATTGACATGGGTAATTTTTTCTGGGTGACAACACTAACGATTTGAATGAACGGAGCGAACTATATACCATTTTTGACATTAGGATTTTGTTCCAAATATCAAATAGACGAAAGAAATCTATAGATTATCAAACAGTGTGGATGTTTATGGTTATTCTGTTGTGTGCACTATGTGTTATTTTTCAGGAAAGGCAATTTCTGTAATAATGTTAGAAAGCATTAAAGAATTTTTTTTTTCCAGTAATTTTAAACTTTACATAGAAATACGTGAAAAGAGTATAGTATCTAGTATCCAAGGTGGGATTGTAATGTTGAAAAATAAATCGAGGACTATGTATTTTATGTACTGTAGACATATTTACCTTTTGTATTGTCTATTCGTGGATTTTACAACATTTTTAATAATTGAATAATTTGGCATACGCCCGTGGAAACAAGAAAAAATATTTTATATAGTACAAATATACTAAGGATGATCAAGATGTAAATATAACTTATTTTCAATAACACTATAACCCAAAAATGACAATTAATATTTTCCTATGAAATTGCATCATAAAACGAAATCCCAAAAGAAGCTAATGTCCAAATTCACTACGAAATCATGTAGGTTATAAAAACAACATATAAAACAATAACAAGAGACCAAGTAAATACAACGCAGTTGTACATCTGTTCTTTTAACCATTGGTCATTTACTTAACCTAGCTTCCAGTGTTGGTTGTTGGTTTTTTGACAAATGGTTGTATGTAATTCTGACAATTGGTTAGGCTAACTATTAATCAAAAAACATATTTTTCTGATATTTAACCATTTGTCAAAGATTTTAACAAATGGTTGAGTTAACCATGGATCAGAAAACTGGGCCTAAGCCACTGAGCCAAAACTAAAAGTTTAATTACTAGCGCTTCTATGACTACTTCAGTCTTTGTAGGAGAGTAGTGTTAAGTAGATTGGCTTGGGCTAATGTCGCTGCAGGATCAGTCAGTTCGGTGCTCGGGAATGTGGTCAGTAGAACGAACGGTTGCAGCTGGTACAAGGGTTCAGCTCTCGACACGTACTGATGGAGGTCCGCCACGGTGTGACTGTGATTGAACTGACCTGTTATACGGCTACCGTCAGCTAGACGGAACTGTTAACAAAAAGTTTTTATAAGTTACACCGCAAACTGTATACGGACACCTGTTAAAAGATGAAAGTGTGCCCATAGTAGTCGATTTTATCGATTAGGCTTTTTTGATTGCAAGACATCCCTATCTGTCAGTTCGCTGTTGCTTTGTAGTCAAAGTACAATATACATATATATATATATGTAAATGTCATTTTATAACAAAGCACATATCAAGTTGTACTTCCAATGACGAGATTGGGTACATAACATTATAAAACAAAATTAAGGCAAATATAATTTTAATTAGATTTAAAAATTAGTGGTCCAGCTGGATCGAATCCTGGGCGGTTCGTCGGTTAATATAGGTAAAGTCACCTGTACAGTGGTGAGGGGGCGGGAGTGGTCCAACTGGACAGATTCCTGGGCGGCTCGTTGGTTGGCCGCTCTGTCGTTAGGATCTGCAGCTACTGGCGCCGTTGCTCCCACAGTCGTCGGTGTTGGGCTACAACAATACACTATCATACAATACAACAATAAAACGCCATACTTTTCAACTACGCCCAAAGTCATCAAGCTTAGATCAATAGAACAATATGATTCTTTAGAATAAATTTTAAATTTTAAAAATAAAGTTAAAATTTTAAGATATTTCTAACAAAAGTTTTTGTTTTGACATATTTTACGGTGTCTTTCGTTTGATGTCATTAACATAGGGGTCCAATAGGATAGTTTCGGTAATGAAAAATAATTCACATATTTGAACAAAAATTTAAATTTACATCGTAATAGAGATTTTGAAAAATCTATTAAAATTTTTAAATTAAGTCATGACTTTTCACCTATGTGTCAAGTGACTTGAAACACGACCCGCCATTGTGTGACGACACTGTGGTGACAGCTGTCAGATCAGTCTTAAAGATATGCCTATTAATCATAAATAAAATTCCTAGATGCGCTGTTCTTAGTTTATTTAAATCTTTTTATTTCGTAAACGATCGGTAGATGGCTTGTTCTGTTAGCATGTTTAATTTTCTACTCCATGCATTTGTTTTGTGTACATATCAGAATGACGTCATGAACATGAAGCTTTTTTTATAACAGCGTTTTCGCGGGTATAAGAAAAGTTTAAATTTTTATTTAATTTTAAGACAAGAAAAACGTGTTTATTTAAAAAAAAGGAGTTACAAATATTAAAATAAAAAGTTACAAGTATTATTACAGGGTAGAATACACAATTCAACAAAGGGCATTCTATCTTTACATACTATCATCACCAGCGCTTCTTAGTCCCCATTGCAAGGGGGGCCTTCCTTATGTATGGTTGAGGATGGGCCATGACTCCCACGCTGACCCAAAGCGGATTAGAGTGTATTATCAACTGCAAATGCTGCCGGGACCAATGGCTTAATGTACCTTTCAAAGCATGGAGTAGGTCAAGATAATAATATTTTGGTCTCATGAAAACAACGATAGCGGGCAACGGCGCTTATTCATTACATCACCGAGTTACTCCCAGGGAAAATACTATAAAGGAAATAGACTATAGTCCGTTTCATAGAGCATGGATACAGGGACTTATTAATAAATCCATTTCACGCAATTTGCATTTCCAACTAATTAAAAACCATCGATATAAAAAATAGAATATATTCGATATTTATTTAAATTTGTCATATTAAAACACAAACAAAAAATTTATAGTCATAATTACTGAAATCTAACCCTCTTAAAATTTTAAACATCATTACTTATAACGAAAATTGAAATGTTTTTTTTTAATAAAATCGTTTTAATCGAAATATGTATTCAGTAATCATTTGACAAATTTCTACTAGAAATGAACTTAATATCGGATTTTTGTATATATATATATTTATTAGCCATAACTAAAATTTTAGATCCCAAACGTATCGTATCCATGCTATGTGAAAAGACGTCCGGTAAAGTACCTGCCAAGCATCTGCCCCTTGCCGGAGAAGGCGGAGGACCGCTGCGGCTGCCTCGAGTACTCCTCGTGCCAGCGGTCCTCGAGGCTGACGCGCACGCCGCCGCCCTCGCTAGACAACTCTGACGGCATCTCACTAATAGATAATAATGAGCCTTTTTATTCTGAACTCAAGTACATTGCCTTAAAATAAATTTCACTAGTTTAAAATTGACCCTACAAAGTGTCTCCGTTCAGTGTGCCTCTTAACATAGACCTCTTCCAACAGTTTCCACTGAGTTCTGTCCTTCGCTACTCTTCTCCGACGATATCCAGCTGTGAGTTTAAGATCATCTTCCCATCTCATATGCTGACGTGCTCTGTTGCGTTACCGATCTCTCGGATATATATATTTACTAACTTTTGCCCGCGACTTCGTCCGCGTGGTAAAGTTACTTTGAGCATTTCAAACGAAAATTTATTAATTATATCGTGTAAAATACCTGAAATGAAGTTTCATTCCCTATTTTAGCCCCTTAGGGGTGGAATTTATTAAAATCCTTTCTTCCGGGGTGCCTACGTCATAGTAGCTTTATGCATGCAAAGTCTCAGCCTGATCGGTTTAAAATTGACAGCTTCATAGAAACTTTCATCCCCTATTTTATCCCCTTGCAGACAGAATTGATCAAAATCCTTATTTAGAGAATGCCTATGTCATAGTAGCTTTAGTAGCGTCAAAGTCTCAGCCCGATCGGTTTAAAATTGACAAAGTTTAATACAAACTTTTATCCCCTATTTTATCCCCTTGGGGGTAGAATTGGTCAAAATTCTTTCTTAACGGATGCCTACGTCATAACATGTAGCTGCATGCAGTGGTTTGGGCTGTGCGTTGATAGATCACTATGTCAGTCAGTCAGTCACCTTTGAGTTATATAGACTCCATTTCTCCCATTTATCTCACCGATATATAACATACATACAGCTACCGAATCCCTTATTTAATCATTATGTTCTTACTCATATTTGTAACTCACCCTCTCCTTATACAGTTGAGGAACTCCGCATTCTCCGGGTCAGTGTAAAGTCTCAGCGGGCCGTTGTCTACGGTGAATCCCTCGCGATACAATCGTAGACGAACAGAGCGCAATTGCTCTTGTTGCTATATACACATAAAAATACATATAATTGGTATGGGACGGTTTTAATAAAGGTAATTATAAACCTGTATTAATTTAATACAGGTTTAATTGTAAAATGCTTTTTTTTTTTTGGAAAACACAAACACTTTAACCGAATATTATTCTGTTTTCGGTTAAAGTGTTTGTGTTTTCCAAAAATTGCATAAAATATCCAACAGTTCCAGATGGGACTTGAGATGGGACACTTAACCACTGAGCTGGGTAGCAACGGGTGCTACTAGTGAGCGTATTCTCATAAATGTTCAGGCAATTGATTAAAAATAATAAATAAGTTTATAAAATAAACATTTTTGATTTCATAGGATTTTGTGACTTTTAATATAACATACAAAAGAAGTTTTGTCTTTTAGTTTTATGTTGTGTAGCCAAGAAAATATATGATAAGATAAGATAAAAACACTTTATTGTACAACACACAACAGAAATAAATAACGAGTAACTTACAAATATTAAAACTATTGCACAATAGGCGGCCTTATCGCTTAACAGCGATTTCTTCCAGGCAACCTATACTGGAAGAAGCAATGATGACAATAATGTAGGTAGGCTGTGCGCGTTACAAATAAATTTAATAATATTAATAGAAATATAAATATGATAATAAAGTTACATAAAATAAACAAACATACAATGATAAGAAAGCAACATATCAAGTAGATTTCTGTTCATCTGACAAAAAGAACTTCGCAGCTAGAGATTTGAAAGACTCCAGCGTTTGGGCGCGCCTAACATTCTCAGGTAAGGAATTCCATAAATGGATAGCTCGCAGGGTAAAAGATTGGCTGTAAAATTGAGAAAAGTTAGGCGGTATGTAAAGGCGAAGATTGTCAGACGAACGAAGGGGAAGATTGTGAGTAGAGGAAAGAAACTTAAAATTCTCCTTGAGATATCTGGGTGACAATGGATTGAACAGCACAGAAAAGAGAAGGGATAATATGTGTAGGTCTCTGCGTCGGCGAATGGTCAACCAATTCAACTTTTGACGATAGTGAGAGACATGGTCATATTTACGCAGTCCGAATATGAACCTTATGGCGAAATTTTGGAGACGTTCTAGCTTATTAAGAAGCTCAACGGTAAAGTCTGGATAGCACACATCTGCATAATCGAGTATAGGTAGAAGTAGGGATTGTGCAAGAGTAATTTTGGTGGCAGTTGGTAAGAAGTTACGTAAGCGCCGCAGCGCCCCAGCTGAAGCAAACATTCGTCTACTAACTTCTGCAACTTGTGGTCTCCAGGATAAAGATTTGTCAAATAAAAGTCCTAGGTTTTTCACCGTATCTGTAAATGGAATCACTGTCCCGTCCAAAGTAATTTTCGACAACTGCCCGAAATCAATCCTTGTCACAAAGTAAGGGCTGCCAATTATTATACACTGAGTCTTCTTAGGATTAACATTCAAACCAAATGACGAACTCCAGTTTACTATACGATCTAAATCAATATTGATCTTGCGGATAGCATCGTTCAAGTTATCAAATCTCTCTTGCGTATAAATTTGAAGATCATCAGCATACAAGTGGTAGGTGGAAGTTAGATTATGAGTAATAGAATTAACAAAAATACAGAATAAGAAACGAATATTTGGCACATCTCTAATGTTTCATCATCATCATCATCAGCCCTATTACGTCCCCACTGCAGGGGCTCAGGCCTTCCTTACGGATGGTTAAGGACATAGAACATAGAGAGAGAATAGAAGTATAATGATACTGATTTAGTATGGGAACCGAGCGTCGCCTCTCCGCACACAAATACAGATTAGATGAAATGATCATTTTGTTCACTACATGAAAAACTGCCACGCGATACGTTCGTGATAACATAAACAGAATCCCAAAAAGATACTAAGCTAAGAAATCACACGATTAAAAACAAACTCTAATTCAACGTGATAATAAATAATTTACTTTAACATGAATGTTGAACTGTCACGTGGCTGTATACGGGGATACCAGAAGGGAAAAAATATTTTAAGATTATGCACATTTTAAAAAATTGGGGACATCATTTTATGTGCGAACTATTAAGATTAGATTTTGCTGTAACCAAGTGAATATTAAAAAATAACGCTTTTCCCTATATAACTTCTTTTAAAAAACGCAGTACAAAAACTAAGAAAACTTAATGATATGTCTGTGGAGTAATATAATTAAGCGAGGGAAAGTGTAAAAAAAAAACAAAAATTAAGAAACCAACAGAATTTTTGTATTAATTACATTAAGCCTAATTTGTAATTTTTTCTTACTGGTATCATTCCGATTGTGCATATTAGTGATGTGACATAATAGTAGTTGATGAAATAAGAGGTTTAAATTTTGTTATGAAACAGTAAAATGTAATTCAGTTCGACAATGTTCTACAGTGGTTTGATAGTAATTATTTAAAGCTTAATTCAAATAAAATGAAATACATAGTTTACATTACCTAATGTGAGGCATATTAATACACTTATAAATGTAAATAGTGAAAAAGTTGAGTTGGTGAAATCGACAGTTCCTTGGTATTAAACTAAATTCCCGACTGCAATGGGATCCTCATATTGAAAATTTGTCAAGTAGACTGAGTTCTGCAGCATTTGCTGTTAAGCAAATTAGACTCTTGACAAATGTTGAAACGGCAGGATTTGTATATTTTAGTTATTTTCATAGTGTAATGACGTATAATCTATTGTTGTGGGGTTCTGCGGCTAGCATTCAAGATATTTTTATTCTACAAAAGAGAGCTGTCCATGCTATATATAATTTACGGTCTAGAGAATCTCTCAGAAAAATATTTAAAGAAATAAATATTTTGATTGTTACCTCTCAATACATCAATGAAAATATTATCTACGCAAGAAAACATTACGATTCCATCACAAAAAAAAACTAGTGTTCATAATCATAACACAAGAAATAAAAATAAACTTGCCGTTCCAAGCTTCAGACTTCAGAAAACCAGAGGATCAATGCATTTACATTGCTATGTTCAATAAAGTTCCACAAAATGTAGTTGACCTACCCATAAATAAATTTAGAATTCTTATGAGTAAAGGCTATTATAAAGTTGATGATTATTTTAAGAATCGCAATGCATGGAATGAATAGCCATCGCTTTGTTCTATAAAGACTAATTATATGTTCAACATATCGCACACCTAGATCTAAACTGAGACAACTCAAAAATCGTGAGTTTTGAGTTAGTATAATATTCGGATACTCTGAGATCGTACGCATCTATCCAACATAACAGGTTTAATAAAGGTTCCACAGATGAGCCGCTAGATGACTTTAGCTTCCTTTTGTTGAATCAACGCTTGTCGCGCACCTCCACCCTAAACCAATGCATTATCAGTTGCCTTTCACTAGTCTCAGGGTGTGTACGTATTTTTTTAACGAAATTGCGGACATTTCGAATTGTTACAGTTTTGTTGAAAATTATACATTAGTTAATTTGAGTTATTACTGTATTGGTGAATTGTTTTGTCCTAATACTTCTGGATATTTTGACTTGTTCCAGTTTTGTTTGATAAGGTAAGTAAACATTTTGTTGTTATTTTGTATTGACTTTGTTTTGATGGATCAACATGTAAATTTCTAGTTAACTTACTTTTCGTGGAACAAATTTATTTTAATGATTTTAAATATCAAGCATGACATTTTGCAAGTGTTACTTAAAAAATCATGTACTTTATAGTCATATCTTTTGAAAAGTTATTTTGTTTTCATTCAAACTATGTCCCACTTTATTAAAAAAAAACTTTTTTGAGTTATCTCGCTATTGTTGGTTACGTAAAAATGACTAGAGACATTTTACACTTTTCAGAAAAAATGAAGAGAGGCCGTCTTCTTGTTAACATTATAAAAGAACGAAACAAGGAGAATCCAGTGACAGCTAAAGAAAAAGAGTCAGCGACGTCTCTGAATATAGAAGCACAAGAAGAAAATAAAGAAAACAGCCCAACAAACAATTCCATGCTATCTAAACCATGCCACAGCCGGCAAATCGATAATGATTTAGTTATTTCGACAAGTGAAGAAAGTTTTATTGATGACTCTGATACTGATCCAAGTTATGTTCGGCAAAAAAAGAAGAACTTGCCCTAAAGTAGTTCCTGAATCTTCTTTTTCTTCCTCAAGTGATAGCAGTATACCCCACACATCGGTTTCTAGTAGTAGTTCTGATTCTGAAATTGAAACCACGGCTATTACCGAGACTGTTACACAAACTCGAAGGCAAGACATAAGTAATGAAGAACGTAATGATCAGTCCAATGAAGAAGCAAAAAAAGGAAAGAAGAGGCTAAGAAGAGAATCGGAATGGAAAGCTAATAAATGTAAATTCCTAAGGAATTCAGGTAAGGCTTATCAGTCTATGTCAAAAACAAAGAAAATTGTTTCTGGTAGGAAGATTCGCACGGCTTGTGGCGAAAAATGCAGACAACGTTGTATTACGAAGATAAACGAAGAAACAAGACAAACCCTATTTGATGCTTACTGGGGCCTAGCTAATCTTCATAAGCAGAGGGAGTATGTAGTAAGGCATACTCGAGAAATTAAACTAAAATACAGGTATTCTAGCACACAGGAATATAGAAGTCTTAATAGAGCCTTTTACTTTGAAGTAGCTGGGAATAAAATTAGAGTATGTAAAGCTTTTTTTAAGAATACACTTGATTTGAGTAATACAGCCATTACAACTGCACTTTCCAAAAAAAATACTTCCGGTATTATAGCCAATGATTTAAGAGGGAAACACGGTAATCAACCCAAAATTAATGCTGAAATTAAAGATAGTGTTGTCGAATTTATTAATACTATTCCCAGGATTGAGTCTCATTACTTGAGAGCGCAAACATCACGGGAATTTATTTGTAGTGACAAATCACTTGCTTACTTATACCGTGATTATAAAGAAGCTCGTGAACACAAACAATTACCTTTCGCTACGAAATCAACATTTAACAAGATATTCAATACAGAATTCAATATTTCATTTTTTATGCCGAAAAAGGACATTTGCGACCTTTGTGAGGGCTTTAAAAATGCCAAAGAGGAAGAGAAATTGAAAATACGAGAAAATTATGAACAACATCTTATAGAAAAAAAAATTGCAAGGGACCATAAAGAAAGAGACAAGAATAGAAATGACGGAGTAATTACAGCTGTATATGATTTACAAGCTGTTATGCAAGTTCCGAAGGGTCAAATTTCATTATTTTTCAATAAAGCTAGAATCAATTGTTTTAATTTTACCATAAGTGATTTGAAGGCAAAAGATGTAATATGTTATTTTTGGGATGAGACGGAAGGTAAAAGGGGCGCTGTAGAAAAAGGCTCATGTGTTCTAAAGTATGTTGACACTTTATTAGAAAAGCATCCTGACAAAAATATTGAATTATCTTTTATTCAGACAATTGTTGTGGACAGCAAAAAAATACGTTTTTACTTTCTGTTTATGGGTATGTCGTTGCTACTAAAAGAGTAAAGTCAATAACGCACAAATTTCTTATACGTGGTCATTCTCAAAATGAGGGCGACAACGTTCATAGTGTAATAGAAAAGCAAATTAAAAGGCACATTAGATCTGGTCCAATATACACTCCGTAACAATATTGCACTTTAATTCGTACAGCAAAAAAGTCGGGTAGTCCTTACCAAGTGGAAGAGATGACATTTGTAAAGTTTTATGACACTAAAATCTTGCAAGAAGAGTGGGGTACCAATTTCACTTTAGATGAAGTTAAATGGCACGATATTAAAATCTTACGAGTGGAAAAAGACAACCCGGGAGCATTCTTTTATAAAACCTCATTTGCAGATGATGATTATAAAAAAGTATCAGTGCGCAAACGCCGAACTGGTCAGAGACTTAGACAAGCCAATACACAAAAAATACCCCTCCCTGAGACAAAAATAAGAGACCTTACAGATCTTATAAGAAAACATGCTATACCACAGTCATACGTAGATTCATATTTTAAAAATGTAATGGGTACTATTTGACTGTTTTATAACTAATTTTACGTGTCTATCACAAAAAAATTTTTCTTTCTTATTTTTGTTAATTTGTAATATTTCATTGTCCTGTCAATTATTTACTGGATAATAAGAGACTGGGTTGTTATTGGGTATAACAATTATAATATAAATGACCCTAATTCAAATGTTGATCTCATAAGTGCAATACCAAAATTATTCTAAGAAGTTTATTTAAGAATTAATACTAATTTTATGTTTGTTAAGAAAAAAATCTTATAAGTCTAAGAAACTGTTGTTTAGAATGTTTATTTTTTCTGTAGTATTACCATTTCCAGACTGATATTTTGTGATATATTGTTATAATTTACTACATAATAATATCTCTTGAATAAGAAATTGTAAGGCTTAATAGCCACAATATTTTAAACACAAATATTTATTTTATTACTTTAATTTTAACATTTAAAAATTGATATTTTGTTATTTATTATTAATTTAGAATTTTTTTTGAGTTGTGATTAGTATATAAAAATAATTTACTTAATGAAAGAACAAAGTATAACTTTTTTGATTAATGTTTTGTGTTTTGTCTATCATTTATTATGGTTTTATTTCAAGAATTACTTGTTTTTTTTTTGTTCAAAAAAAGGTTTAACTCAAAATGTTCAATGAAAACTGTTTCAAGTCTAAATATGGTTTAATTTTTGTACCTAGGCCTTATTCTAAAGTGTAACAACTCAAAAAATAGCAAAAATCACTTAAAACTATTTATTTTGAGACCTAATTTATATATAGTACCAATTCACTACCTTTTTATGATCTTAAATAGAATTGAGTTTAATAAGTTTCCTAACAAAAAACGTAGTTATACGTTTTTTTCTTCTCCTGAAAAATAAGGTTTTTTGAGTTGTTTCAGTTTAGATCTAGGTGTGCGATATGTCCTACAGACTTTGAAAGTTGTATTTATTATTGTGATAAAATATGAAATGACATGATTTATGTAAATATCATAGGGCTGGTAAGTTTCTTTCGCTTGTTCTTCTTGTCAGCTAAAAGACGTCCTGAACAAGTGGTATGGGAAATAAAATTTTTGGACTATTCAAAAGCGATTCATAATAACTAATATGATCATTACAATAATAAATTGATCAAAGCCATGTTTGTTTTACTTTATTATTCTAAGTTTTATAACTGTAATAATAATAGTACCTACATTTTTAATTGCAACGACTGGACAATAAGGAATCGCTGGTCAAGTATGAGTTTGAAAGCCGTGACAAAAAAGTTTGAAGACAGACACAAAAGCGATAAGTACGTACAAACGTCAATCTACATATAAAGTCACATCCGTTTGAGACATGCGTTTATAAACTTATGTGCAAATATGAAGCAACAAAAAAACTGATAAAAGCTGTGGGGCGGTTCTTTAAAGTGGCTATCTTAACTCGATTTCTATAATAATGGTTTCCGATTATGAATCAGCATAATAAAGTAAATTAAATTGACGCCTATAAATTAAATTTGTAAATTAAATTCACACCACCAACAATATTACGTTAGTTGAAAACATGATTTTTTGTTTGTATAGATAATATGTTGTTTTGAAATTCATTTGATAGGTTTAGGTCTAAAACGGATAGGACAAAATAAATTATGTAAACAGGGCAATCCGTTGTAAAGTTATTAGGGAAACTGAAATATAAGTAATGCAAAATAAGTGAAATCCAGTTTCACCAGTTTCTAATAAGACCTATTAGGCCAACACTCGTAGCTTTTCACGAAGTTTCGTTTGATTTATATATTGTTCATAAAACGTTGATATACTTCGTAACTTAGATATTTATAGCACATCAGTATTTTTTAATATTTATCTGCGTGTAAATAATTAACCGAATCTTCGTAAAAAAGTGCCTGAATAGTTCATTATTTCATCTGTTCAGTATCAATTCATCTTTTATTTTCAGGAGGCACAGCACTATTTTTTGCAAAAGTGCACAATATGATTTACATTGCTGTCTAGAAACGGGGTTAGAAACATTAATGTTGGTTTGAGCAAACAATGTATATTTTATTTGAAATTGTGTCAAATTATTACGTTTTTTATATTTTAGCACTAAAATTGTACTTACCAGTGAAAGGAAATGTTTGCATTAGTTAGATTGTATACTTTGTTTTGCTTTTTGCAAGTGATAATAGCACAAAACGGTATTTTTTATAGAAAAAATCAGTAAAATCACCACTCGACGATTGACGAACGACTGACAAATATAAAACCGAGGAAAGGGCGTCATATGAGTAAAAGCGCATATGCCAGCGACGCTTGCCCCGCCCACTTACTACTTCTATTCTCTCTCTATGTTCTGTGGTTAAGGAGGATGGGCCATGACCCTCCACGCTGGCCCAATGCGGATTAGCGAGTATTAACGACTGCAAATGTAACCGAGACCAACGGCTTAACGTGCCTTCCGAAGCACGGAGTAGCTCGAGATAATAATTTTTTGGTCACCCATCCCGTGACCGACCCTTGCAAAAGTTGCTTAACGACAACGATCGCGGGCCGTGGCGCTTATCCACTACGCCACCGAGCTACTTCTCTTACGTTTAGTAATAAATATTTAGTAAAAAAAAATTTTATTACACTACCTAATTTCAAAAAAATTACACTGAGAAAATTCGAAAAACATTGGGAAAGTATATTACATAAATTTGTAAAAATACAGATGGCATTAAGTTAATTTTATAAATTGTAACAACTTTCAATATAACAACTATAATCATAAACACACAAATAACTAAGGTATTACATTGGAAAAATATATTACAGATTGCCCAAACGCCCATAAATTTTACGTTACTATACTAAACTGTGACAACACTAATCACATTAAACTAAGATTCATTATATTGGCATGTACCCAAATAGAGTTGTTATCTTATTATTGTTGTTCTTACCTGTGAGGATTGTGTGTTTGTTGGAGTGATTTGCTCATGATCATCTGAAGTTTGACCTGAAAAATCAATTGTATTTTTAATGCAAGTACATACAAATTTATCTTAGATATTAATTTCTGTTTGACTGTCACACCTAGTAATTGCAGATGTTAGTATGGATGTTATCTTATCCTTAGCTTAGGCAACAATCTCCCACAAAGTAATTTTGTGTATAAAAAACTTGTGAACCTATTGTAATCAGCTTTTTATTTACATTGTGAAAAAAAGAAAGAAATGAATGAATTATTATCATTACCCATAATGAAATTAATAAGTGAACTCACCAAGCCTGTACCCGACACCAGAGAATATGGCACGGCCTCTGCTAGCAGATGGCGAGGGATCGTCGTCGAATGCCACCGCCCCACGCCTGATAATATAGTATAACTTACAATAAATAACAAGTGGCACAAAATTATAGGGTTCGGGACAAAACTTTAAGGCCAACGAGGAAGTATTTAAAAATAAAAAGAAAGCACCAGAAAAGCACCTCCACTAGATGGCGACTCTAGCAAAAGTTGATTTTTGCAGGAAATTAATGGACCAAAGATAAAGTATAGTCATTCCCGTTCCTTTTGACTAACATATTAAAAAACTGAAATTTTCAAAGTTCGAAACTTAGATATCAATACAAACACGAAAAATTTCAAATAGAATATGAGTTGTATACTGAGTTTAGAAAACCAATTTACTTTTATACATGAAAGAAAACCGGAAGGGTTGTCATGGAGAAATCAAGAAAGTACCGTAGCGACATCTAGTTTAATTCCGGGAACTAATGTTTTTTTTTAATACATCCTCATTAAATTCACAATATAATATATATATGCTTAATAAAATGACAAAAATAAACAAATAACAAATCTCAAACTTTAACTCCACTATCATCACTTCATGTTTAGCTTTCGATCACTCTCGTATTCAGTGCACTAGTTACTGAAAGAATTCCGCAGTCCACCAAGAGTAGTCCACCGCGTATTTTTAGGGGTCGACACCAAAACTAGAATGTTCTAGGTTAGGACCTAGAACATTGTAGGTGGGCCCCGGTCTTACCGGTGTATTCGAGGCATTACCAAAAAGTTCTAAACAGCTACCTGTCCCTTCTTCCCCAGTGACCGTCCCTTTCTCGCCGACCTAATGTATACCTATATGACACACGTAGTTTCGACATCACAGTGATGATCGATTCATTGGCACATAATGTCATCTAATGTGAAGAATTTGCTCATTTCACCTTTCATTAATTCTACATATAGTGGCATATTTTTGAAGTATTTTTTTTTATGAATCACAATCCATGTTCTATTTGGAATAAATAATTGGAAATAACAAATAAAAGCTTCCAATTTTTTCAAAATAATTTAACAGATTAAATTCATATCCAGCTCTATAGAACATTATATGGGATGTGAAAATAAATTAACTTGTTTAATATTATAGGAAAATTAAAAGGTTTGGTTGGTGAATTGAGATGCTAATTAAAAGAGAAGCATGTATGGATCGTGTTATACTCGGTGGAACAGAACGACCGACACTCCCGAGGTTCCTGGAGAGTACTATTTGTCTTTAATATGATGTAAAAAAAATTATAAGTCTAGGTCAAATAGTTTTGGAGATATTAAATCACAAAGTTTTTGAAAAAGAATGAGTGTTTTCAGCTGTTTTTGGGATGTTAAAAGGTTTTAATCGGTCATTGACTTCTTCATTTCTAAAAACGAAATAAACTAGTTTGTGATTTATAAGACTGCCTTCATGCAAATTCTACCAGACAATCAATAAACAAGGCAGTTAAAATGCTTAAATAGATTTACAGACTAACAGCCAGTTTCTGATTTGAAAAAAGTAAAAAAATTCTACTGCTTATTCTCAATAACCTAAGTTTTTTTTAATTTCACAAGTCAAATAGTCCTAGTTTTATCAAACTGCTATCAACTGATCATCAAAAAACTAAAATCGGAAACGAAAACTAAGTGATGTTAGTTTGAGACGTTTAACTTTAAATTCTCAATTAAGAAACCGAGTGTAAAATTTCCTAAATTATTGTAGAGAGATCAGTCTAACATTAACCTACGTTATTTTAAAAGAGCAATTATCCAAAATAATTGTTTGAATAGGGTTATACTCCTTTAACAACGGGATCGTTAATTAAACTCGATAAACTCACAAATCTTCCAGCAATTCATCATTAACACAAATGAACATTGTTTTAAAAACATTGAGGAATTTGTTATTAAAATTGCATTTAAAAAGAACATTAAAAAATGCGTGATATCAAATGTGAACCGAGTTCGTCCCTCGATATCAAAGCCCCACCCACCAGCCAGCCGCCAGGCGGCTTCATTATTCTGTCGGTATTTTCCGGCCACACAGTCGCCACCGACCTTTTGCGCTGGAGTGTTGTTGCGCATCGCCGCCGACGCACCGCTGCGAAGCGTCTTTTTTGTCGATTTTTGTTTTGTTCTAGTGCATTTTTAATCGAATTTTTGTTAATAAGATACTAGAGTGTTCGTCTTGAGTGTTAAGTTTAGTTTAGTGAAGATTGTGTTTAGTTTTGTGTGAAATGTGATGTGTTTTGCGCGTGTATGCGCGGCATTGAAAAGAGCGTGCTTAGCTCAGTCTTCAGAGAGGAAGTGGACATTTTCAGCATCGACTATCATTAAGATATCGGTAAATAATTAAATTAAATTAATGTATTTCGTGGTTCGTTGTAATTTGCACACAATCGATATTGCGCATGCGCGTTATAGGGCTGTCAACACTTAGAAATTTAAAATTTTTACTTCATTTTTACACCTCCTCTATTTTTAAATATTTGTCAAATAAAATGAACGTTTGCATGTAACCTAACTTGAAACTTTCGGCTATGTCGGTCATTTTGTTCCTCCCAGTATATTAAATATTGCAATAAAAAATGCTCCCTTTGAATTAGTGAGACAGTGAAAGGAGCATTTTGTATGAAAACTACATGGTATTCTGCTAAATTTGCCAGGGAGTGTATGTATAATTTGAAGTTATATGTATAATTTGGTGACCATATAGGTGAAACCACTGGTGGAAATCTAGTGTTACATAAGCGTCCCTACTTCTCTTCCACATTTATTATTTACCACCACTAACAATGAATAATTATTATTTGACCTAAAAAGCTCCATTTCACTAATTAGTATATCAATGAACAAACTTCACTATGTCATCAGAACCAAGTTTACACATACAAAGTAAGCTTATTTACCCAGGCTACATAACTCCATACAAAGCAGAGTAGCAGTCTTCAAAAACACCACCTCAGGTTATCATATATCAATGTTTACTAAGAAAATCTTGAGGTTTTCTTACAGAAAACAGAAAGAATAAAAAAATAGTAAAACATGGCTCACATATCACAAATCATTTTATGATGAGTGACAGAATATCTGTCATCATAAAATGATTATAAGTTAAAGTAACCATCCAATCATGGTAAACAAATACTTACTCTCTCACACTCTTAAACATTTCAGTGACAAAGTCTTTCCTTCCTTTACCAGGTCCCAGTATTTGCTGGCCTGATCTTTCCGAACCACCCGCATAAAATGCTTGACCTGGAAAAAAATGAAACTAATTAAAAAGAAGCCACATAATTAATATGGAACCTAGAATATATGTCATGCAGTTGTAACAAAAAAAGAAAAATAAATAGTCTAACATATTATTGGAACAGATTTTGCGGTGCGTAAACTACATATTATCACACACCTGATTCTTTATTCGACTTTAGTCTTGCTATTTCATTCTTCAGCTCAACATTTTCAATTGTCAATCTAATAATTTCATTTTTCAAATTAATTATTTCCTGATCTTTATCTGTGTCTGAATTAAACTTTACATTCTTTTTATCTTTTTTGGAGCAAGATGCTTTGTCACAAAAGAACTCTTGAACAATAAATTCCGTTTGCAGTTTAATGTATTTCAACACTGACAAGAAAATACCAATTAACTATTAGGACTCGTTTTTAATGTTATAAACATATGTTTTGCTCCTCATATTTAATATAGTCTAAAATTTAATATAAAAATGTAACATTTCTTAGTTTCCTTAAAACTCAAACAGGAACAGGTGAAAAACGGGCTAATTTTGAAATATTTTTAGAATCTTCCTCTCTTTGAAGGGAAGAAAATTTGAACAAAAAACAATTTTAATTTCCTATACAAACTGTTCATACCTATCAGAGTGCCTTCAGAAATTAATTTTATTGAACTGACATATTATTTAAAAGTTGTACAGACAGCTAGTAACAAATAATTTGAAACAAACATTTAATCTTAGCACTTTATGACACCTACATAGAAATGGAAAATCAAATTTAGAAACTTACCTTCATCATCTTGGCTTGAACTATCATTTTGTAATGAATCAAGAGTTGCAAATTTTGATGTATTCTTCTTTTTATCTTTTTTTTGGGGACGTGCTGGCGATGCCGGGGGTGACTCCATATCACTATCTGACAATGTTGGTGGTGAGGCTCGAGCTGTTGGATTTGTGGGTACTTCGTCCACATTCCCTCCGTGTTCATAGAAACTTGATAAAGCTATCTAAACATGAAACAGTTCAATAATTAGGAATTAGACAACATGCAGCTCTGGTTTTAGTTATCTAATATGGATTATTTTAAATAATTAATAGCAGCTAAATTGTTTCTCTTATAAACATATAATTCATTAGAATAAATAAATAAAAGTACTTTAAAATAAATGAGTACATATTATACCGTAACATCATAAAGAGTTCAATGGAAATAGAATCATGTTGCATTTATAATACATAGGTAAGGTTAGATGAACCGTAAAAGCTTTTAGGGAACTCAATTGATAACAAAAATGCATTTCCATGAATTTGCATCAAAAGTACTCACTTCCAATTGCCAATTAGAAGATTCCAAAAAGAATTTGCTTCGTTCCTCATCCGCACCAGTCACGTCACAAAACTGACGCAGTGTATCTTCTTTATTAACTGACATAATTATTGCAGTATTGCTGATATTATGTTTTTACAAACCAATAAAAGCCTTCCTCGAAAACGCCGATGACTTGCTAAAGTTTTGTTCGAAAAACCTTATCTTGGCATTGGCAACAGCCAAAGAACAAAAAACTCATGAAAAACTATATGACATGAAGCAAAGAGTAAAGTAAAAAAAAAGGAAAAGTGAAGGGCTTTTTCAACAATAGAGTATTTAGATTTCTCAACTTGATCACAATACACAACCAAATAATATTAAACATTTAAATAATATGTCTCTGTATCATAATATACCTATGAATAATATTGAAAATAATAGGTTGTTACTCAAATAATTGTAGTGTTGGCTTACAAACAACAATCATTCCTTAGAATAAGAATATATTTATTGTCATTTGAATAAGAATATAGTTTTATGAAACTTATTTAGTTAGGACCGATGTTGTCATCAGCAAGCACAGTAGTATTAATAAAAGATTTACTTTAAAGAATACGAAAAACACACGAGTACACAAATACAGCAACACTAAATAATAAGTGACAAAGTTATAGGTATAAAATTCAAATTAAAAATCATTAAAACACCTATATAATAATTTAAATTTAGACTTCAAAAATATTTGAAATAATTACGAAAAACATTTAAAATATGTTTAAAAATATATAATAACAATCTGAATGCATATCATAGGCAATATTCAAAAAGCACTTAACGACACCTAGTTGATTTCGAGAACTAATTTATATTTATAACTTCCTCATTGACCTACAAATCTTTTTTCATTGTCGTTTATTATAAAAAAAAGGCGTTTCTAAAATCGATTGATTTCTAAATCGATTATATTTTCCATCCCTCACGGAATGTCAATGAAAGTAATGAAAGCCAGAGTTTGTATGTATGGAAGTCCTTTGCCTTTCTTGAAAAGATAATATAAACAAAAAAAAAAAGAAATTGTCACTGCAGTCAAATACTTGGTTCTTGAATATGTTTATTTTTTAAATAAAAACTATATTTCATGATTTACATGTACCGCATGTTTATATACCATAAATTTACATTATCTGACATGATAATGTCGTGATAAGTGATTATACATTCATGCGGTTAACCTTTAATTACTTTGTTCGCCAGCGATTGAATGAAGAATCCTCGTAAATCTTCAGGTAACATTATGAGGAAGTATTACCAGCTGATCCTTGTAATCGTTTGCTTTGTAAGCATAGTTACTTTACTTATATATCGACATGAATACTATCGGCTCCGGTATGTTCTTGAGGTACTTAACTTTTTCGGCAAACCGGGTCTTTCAGAAATAGAATTCTGCGGGCCAGGTTTCAACGCTACAATGCTGTCGGAAATACTTCGGAATTCGTCAATGGAAGTTAGGGAAACGCCACCTCTGTTCCAAGAAATAGATGAACATGTTTACTCCTATTCTTCATTCCTCAGATCCTATAACAAATATGATAAACTAGCTCAAGAACACGCTCATAATATTGACACTATTGTGATTGGTAAGGCGAATGTGCGCCCTAATTTTCGCTGCAATATCTGGCTTGAAAACTCATCAAAACCAAAATCAGGAAAGTTTAACGTTAAGATTATTAGTGATTCTGTGAATGGTTTTCGTTTGTATATTTTTCAATGCTCCTTGAACAAAAATTTAGGCAAACCCAAAGGAGTGAGTTTTTATATAAATGATTATAATATGAACCCAATAAATGCACCAATCAATAGAGTTATCCAAGTGAACACAAAAAGGAAGCCACGAGAGAGAAGTAATATTAGATTTGTAAACAATATTGAACCTGCAGTGTGTGTTATACCGAATCAAGTCCCCATCATATCAAGAGATGCTTTTATAGAATTTTTAGTTTACCACCACATGATGGGAATAAACACTTTCACCATTTATGACAGTATGATATCTGAAGATATTATAAGAAGACTGAACTTATTACCAGCAGATATAACAGAATGGAGTATACAATTCTTTCCATTAAACTATCCATTTGTTTTTGCAAAGTCATATGAAATAGTGAGAAGTGCCATTGAGTTAGACTGCCTATTTAGGCACTTCAGATATGACAAAGAAGATATTAATAAAGCTAGCCATACTGTAACCCTTTCATGGGATGAATTTTTAGTTCCCAGAGTTCACAACAATCTAAAGGCTATATTTGATGACTTTGACCCTTTGAGGAAAGTCAGAAGTATGGAAGTGAAACCATTATTGTTTTGTTTAAATCAAAATGATGATGATAACGCTGAAATTGGTTATCCAGACATCATGAAGAAAACACATTATTTTATGATACCACAGCCACTGAACTCTGTGTATATGAGGAATTTGGACTCCATGACCTCCTTTAGTGATATTTTTAACTTAAATTCAACTAATAAAAATATACCTTTAGAAATACTTGGTGTGCATAAGTACACTGAATGTAGGGACCCTAAGTTATATCAATCAGGAGGTGCTGGGTATAATGAGACACAAATGCAAGTTTTCCAGCATAAGTTTGAAGGTGCCATGTTAAAATTTGGACAGAGCTTAGTGAGCAATAAAATATACAGATTGTACACATCTGGACAAATTTGGGAGAAAACGTCTAGTGAAAATATTAGAGATATGCTATAAAATTGTAGCTTGAAATTCTCGTTACTAAAGTTTATATTATAACCCCTTTGTTTAATGCTCATATATCCTAAGTATACTCTATGGATAGAAAATAAAGAGAGTAGCACAAATTAAATTTTAAGATGTCCAACCTATGACTATGACTATCATTCAAATATTTTTAAACAAAATAGTAGTGGTACAAATAACTAAAAATATAAAACTACATTACATGCTTTAGTATGCTTTACTTGTGCCACTCCCTTTATTTTATGGCATTGATAGGCTCCATTAATTAATTCAATTATCACATAAGTACTTTTGTATGTAAAGTGTTTCTTTACAATTGTTATGAATGATTTTTTTATTATTGTAACAAATTAAAATTTTATTTTTCAAAGTTAAGGGTCACATCTTACAAACAAACTGCAAATATGTGGACAACCACATGTAATAAATAAGCCAGGTCTGTTATGGCTTGAATAGAATGTCTAATTACATGTATTCCATTAGTAAACTTTATTTACAATAAGAACATAGATGGGTGACTAGATGATATTATTATGTTTTAAATCTATTACCATACTAAGTACAGACTCACAAATTCACAGAAATAAACATGTCACCTTCCTATATAGTTCTATTATCTTGTTTCTACATAAGATGTGGAAGGAATGGGTTTGCTGGTTTGCTTTACTTACTACTAAGCAGTAGCACCTAGCATACAGAATTAATTTATATTTAACTTTTTTTTTCCCTCGATATTGCCCACATAAATTTTACCCTTTGTCATTTGCATATGATGTCCTGTGGGTGTAGGAATTTTACATATTGTGGACCGATATGGAAAATTTCTTCACTCACTTTTTTTAATTTAATATTTGATAATGCAAACAATAAAGTCTTTCCTCTTTTTTTTAAATTAGTTATAAAGTTGTCATTGTAGCGTCACGAAATAAGATGACAACTGACGCTTGGTGTCGCTGTTCCTATGGTTTTTAAAATTACAAGTACTTGTTATTAAAAAAGAAACTGTCTAAACTAAGCTGAAATTGGTTCTTGCGCCTAAAGTATTAGTTTTAAATTTTCTTTAATCATGTTTTTTACATATATCAGCATTAAGAACTTGTTACTTGTAATTCGTCGCAATGGTGCCTATATCTATAATATTTCTGTACGGTCAATAATACGTCAGATAGATTATAAACCTCAATGTTGTGAGGGGTCGATTTTAAAGTCAACTGACGTTTGACATAGGTATCAACCTGATGTAGCCGTATGGGATTCAAGCGAAATCCACAAGGGCAACGCCATTAATAAAAAGGAAGAAGGCACTGTAAATAAAATATGTATTATTATTATTTGAATCCTAATTAACGGTGACTCTACGCATCCTCAACAGTATTTACAATATGACTTGACTAGCTTAAGAACACAGGTCCATTTAAGATTGCCTTACAACAAAACTAATAAACACCGTTTAAATGCCATAGATTCACAAACTGATTGCATCATTGTTTCACTTTTACAACTACATGCAACAGTCCAACTGAATATATAATATTGTTTTAATAAACTGTAATTTGAAGCAAAAACAGCAAAATGAAATTATCCATTTATTTTTTATGTGAATTGATGCATAGCTTTAAACAAAAAGATATATTTTTAAGGATTGTTAACGAAAGGTATTGAAAAGTTGTGCCTTGAATGACGGGATAGTAATAGATGAATTTATGAAAAAAAAATTGTTTTCTCTTATTAGTAGTCTAAAAACTTGCATAAAATTACAAGACTGCTTGTTTATATTAAAATATAGACTTAAGGAAAAATGTTTATTCATTATTTGTATAATTAAAACTGCCTGATCGTAATTCCCAATACTATACCTGTGCAAGAAATAATAATAACGTCATTCCTATTGCAAGAATTTCATATAAATTATGATATTGAAATAGCATTTAAAATAATCAACTAATTATAATTGTAATCTAAGTAAGATTTAGTATTAAAATATAGATTAATATATTCAGTGGTGCAATAAAATAATACAATTATTAATTACTAAAGTAAATAACTTGAGGCCCATTTTATTGACATGTATATACTGTCTTATACAGCGTTATTTAATGATCATAATTTAAGCTCCTACATTTGTCATATGTAATATCCATAAAATCCTCTATATATCTAATGGTCGGCAAGTATGTATTAGTGAGAAAGCATAATAAATGCTTTTAACTTACGTGAGCTCAAGAAAGATGAAGATAAAGAAAAGTAAAATCTTACATCGTGCATGCAACATTAAAATCAAACACTAATTAGAACAAATTTTCATCTTAATCGGCAGTTTAAATATTTCTTTCGGCTGTTTAAGTGGATCGCCTGAACGTTGATGAAAATACGCTCACTAGTAGCGAAACGTAACGAGTGCTTGAAAAAATCGTCAGTCCTGTTGGGTCATGGGTAGCTCAGAGCAGTCGCCCGGATTGCGGTCGTGGTTTCGAGTCCCACCTCAGAGTACCTGGGGCTGGCGGATTTTTTAAGCATTTTTTCATTGAGAATATACTATTATTATTTGTTAAATCATAACTTAACTATATAAAATATTTCTCATCAACGCAGGATAATTAACGCTCAGCAGGGTATGATGAAATCGTCCATTATATCTGTGGCTTAGCTACATTGGATATTACTTGTTTTGATGATTTTTGTATGTTTTCTTATTAGTTTGAGTAAGAATCACAAAATATTAAAACAGATTTGATCATATCAGAACAAGGAATTGTTATTGTATTCCATACACGACTTACGTTTTCCATATTAAATTTTCAATAAAGCGATTTTATACAGAAAGTTATATTTTATTTACCGCGAGTAAGATCTCATAGAAAGAAATCATTTTAGACATTCAAGAACGGATGAGATCGTCGCCATCTTTCATGCGTTTCATTTTCATTTTGCATGTAGAAATTAATTTATTCACATGACATTGGCAAATTGTGTGAAATGCGCATATAAGCCATTTATAAAATAAGAATTGACTTTGGAGATTCATAGGATAATATGTATTGGGTAATTTTTAAGTTGTCAAGATAAAGAAAAATACAAATTGATACTAAGTAAATGTTTATTTCATTCAACTATTCTAAATATAACAGGCGAAACCTGCTAATCGTCACAGATCATGTTGACAACAAAATAGAATCGACGAAAAACAATCGATTAAAAACCAAGCAATACACGAAATGAAAATAATTCATCTATACACATAAATATCAATGACACTAGAAATTACAAGGAATAAAATGAGCAAACATTGAGCAATACAAAGTGTATTGTCGTTGCCACAAATAATATAACTCAAATGTGTGGAGGGAATTCGCAACGTTTAAAAACTAGAACAATATAAATATAGATTAAAGCTTAATTACATAATATTTAAATATTGCCACGAAAGAACTTATATTTATGGGCTACGAAGTTAAGTACTCATATCTCACTAAAATTACCTTTAACAGTGTTTAAATACTGATTATCAATTATAATATGCATTATCTATTTGGAATCAATTTGTAAATGAAAACAGATTTTATTAAGAAGGCACGAAGGTAGCTAACGCTGCCAAACAGATGGTTCAACCACGACCCATTCTGAATGACACTCAACTGGAATTTACAAAAAAAAAGAAATTGCCTACTCCTCTGTAGATATACGATTATATAATAGCATTCATATTAAAAAATATGAGATGTTCATCTGGATATTTGATTTTTTTATATAATTTCAGGTGAAAGATTTATTTGCTACAATAGCAAAATATACTGATAGTAAGTACTCATTGAAAACAATAAAATTATTGGAGAAAAAAAATTGAAATTTCACACGGTTTTCTTCGACGGCACCGTCATAACCGAAGCCGCTTTAGCAATGGAACTGGATTTATGTTCCACACCTTTGAACTTAAAACGTGCTCTAACGATACATACTATTGTCAAAGAAAATCGTATAGAAGTTCAATCGACTAGTAACATTATCGATAACATCTCAAGCAAAATCAATGAAGCTGTACTTCGTATTCTTACACACCTTTAATCGTAACATTCCATCGACGAGAAACTCTTTTTACAGACAAAAGGAGCCTTTAATATCACATTCGTATCACATCATCCCCTTTTAAATGTTTACAATACCCGAAGCTAGACAATTGTGATGTGAATAAAAAATAGGATCCCTAAATGATGTGTGGTAAAATGCTGTATTAGGCTTAGATCTAGAATAGCAAAAATACTCACTGAATAAGAAAACATTACATTGTATCCAAGGAACATGAATTAAATGCATTATCTCTGGCCTTAATTGAATAAATACTTCATCAAATACAAACATTCAAGTTTAAAATAAAAAAGGAAGCGCGTCATTATTAAGTACGCTATTTATACAAGTTTAGTGCTCTTATATTAAGGAACTGCAGTAGTGCAAAAACACATAAAACTTTATACATTAAGGAGTCCCAATTATACAGAAAATATATAATTTACTTATTGTCATGATGTTATGAAGATCGTACGATCAAACTATAAAAAGATATAAATATTTTAAATACGACATCTCCAAAACATTAATTTATTTTCTAAGTCGAAAAATTGTATGACCCCATTTTGACTTTTACAAATTTATCCACGGAAAACTTTATTGCAAGTAATTTTAACCTTTCGGTTTCACGATAGAAATCTCGTAAATTCAATAATCCACTATGTAATATATTGTTTAGATTATCTTACATTCAAATATGTTCAAACATCAACGTCAATATATGTACAGTACATAGTATGAAAGGTATCCTAAACAAGAAAATAGTTTTATAATATCACCTTCTCTAAATACTAAATAGTAAAAAGTGTTACAGTAAATGCACGAAAAATAGTTAAGTAGTCTTATGAGTTCTTGTAACAATAGTATTATAAACGAGCTAAACAACTGTTGTGTGCAGATATTCGGTGTAAAATCATAATTATATGTATCGACTATATTGTATACTTAACAATCATCCATGTAAATGTAAAATATACAATAATATATTGCACATGATGTCTGCACACAAACCTAGAATAAAAGCGCAAAACCGACAAAACTATCCATTATTCAAATTAAATAAATCTTAGTTTAACTTTGAAATATAATCTTGAACTAGTTTCTGTGTTTAACATATGTGATAGTATCCGATTGTAACCATTGACGAGATCTAAATTAATTGGAATTATGGTGTGCCCCACTGATAGACTAGCAATTGTATATTATGGTTTTCCTCAAGTCTCATATGATAAAACTGGTTAAAAAAAATATCTCAAGTATTTTAGATAAATAAAGCATTGTTAATGAAAACTCGCATTTGTTTTATTATGAAACAAATACAGGTATTTAATTTATATTGAAGAAACTACTTTTACATTTAGTATCTAACAAAGGATTCCTAAAACAATTCGATAACCATTCTATTCATCATTAACATGCAATTGCCACTCTCACTTATTTATTACATATAGGTAATAACTTGATAATCGCGAATATAACGTTCTATTATTACATTTAATAAACATTTCAACATATTTACACCGATAACAGTTTACAATATAGATTATTAAATAGCCATCCTACAGTTCAAACAGTTCCAAAGATATTTCTTCTTTATTTAAAATTTTAACAATGCCATAGAATCGATTAGATCTTTTTATTTTTAATATTTGGGGAATATAGCGTGCTTTTGTAGTATTATTTTCAAGTGATATAAAAAAATATCAAGTAAGCACGTGCATTGATAACATTGTCTTCATTTTAGAAGCTAAGGTATTTATGATTTTGGCACTCGTTACAACAATATTTGTCTTAGAAATCGGACTGTAAAGTACAATTATTTTCTGTAATTTAATTATTAGTCTGTTGTTATTTAACTGTTTTCATAAATTTGTGAATTAATGGTAAACCCATAACACATTACAAGTGAAATGATTTATCATGGTTAATATTATATTTTTGATTTATATTAAGAGATCAATAAATCCTAGTCAATGCATAAAAACCTGTTTTTGTTGATTGAATCAGACAATAGAATTAGTGCACGCAGTAGTAAAAAGTAACATGTCAGCAGAGTATTATATAATAAAATGTTTCACAACAACGTTTTCATTATTTAAACAGACTACAATTTTCATCTATGTCAAAAATTTAAAACAATGTTTAACAACAAGATACGTTTCATATCCAAAATATCTAAATGTAACAATTTCTATTACTATAAATCGCTACAAGGTAGACATTTTTTTCTTTAAAAAGTTTTATACTTATTTTCATACCTATGTTTAATATTTCGCCCCCCCCCCCCTTTAATTTATTTAAGAATGATTTACGAATTCCTTTAAAATATTATTATTTTTATAAAGTACTGCACCTGATAAATATCAAGGCATATTTTGTTTATGTTATCGAAATATGTAAATATTTATTACATTTAGTAGGAAAATAAATAATTTCTTAATAAATATTTAGACAAGTTTATTATAAGCTGCACTCGAAATGCCGTAACAAAATATCACTAAGGTTTTAAAACAAGTTTTAGAGATCATTTCTGACGCTTTTTTGGAATGTATACTGCAAGCAAGATCTAATTTATTACTTTTGTACCATTACGAGATGTTAGTATTAAAATCTATTTCTGTGAAATGGCCCCAATTAAGTAAAATAGGTGGATAAACAGTGAGATTAATTATATTCTTATACACAATAAGGAGTATTGTTAAGTAATATGTATTTAACCACATATCAGGTACTTTAAAATTCTATAAAATCAATAAACCTTTTAAGGTGAACACTAGAACATGTCACGTTGATATGTTTCAGCGTTAACAGAGAGCGTTAGTTTTAATTAATTTGGTTTATTTGACATATTATCTCTGTGTGATCTCAATTAAGGTATTCAATGACTTACGTAAAAAGGATTGGAAAATATATTTTGTACTCTGCTTTAAATATTTATAGTATTATTGAAGGATTTTTAAATGTACTTGCCACTTCAAACATGCATTTAGCTATAGTACAATCAGAACGAAGCAGTGTTGAAATAAACTAAAAAAAATATGTAGTTTATAATGTTTACATATTCATGTTTAAAAGGTTTATGGCTAGTTCAAATAACGTCGATAAATATATATATATCGAGAATTATAAACAATGAATTGCATTTTTTATAAGTGACTAAATTTGATTAATTTCAAAAAATGTTTACTGAATAAAACGAATCAAAAGTTAAGAATTGACAAACTTAAAATTTGTGCTGTCTGTCATTTAACGACTCCAAAGTATTCGTAAACAACCTACACAATTAAAAATGACGTCATTTATATTAAAGTGTCCCCTGTAGACTTAAGTTGAATTAAACACGAAACAAAAAGTGGATGATGACTCAGATTATTTATTTTCCAAGGACGTGTGACATTTTTTTAGGATCCGGTAGATGACCCCCTGAGTTATAGATCTTACAGGTAATCTCCTGAGCTATAGATGGCCCCTGTACTATAAAAGACCTCCTGAGGCTAATAACTCTTGAGCTATAAATGCCCCCCTGAGCTAAATCACTGAGCTATAGATGGCTCCCTGTGTTATATTATTACCCCCTGAATTATAGATGGCCCAATAAGCTACAGATGATCCCCGAGCTATAGATGACTCTGTGAGCGGTAGATGACCCCCTAAGCTATATATGACCCCCCTAAGTCTAAGTGCGAGGGTCAGCGTGTTATTCACGCGAGGCGACATCCTCAGGAGCGCGAGGGCAGCGTGGAGGGCGCGCCCTGTCAGAAGTAGATCACCTCCTCCTCCGGGGGCTGCGGCGCGGGACTTTCCGGGGACCGAACCCGAAACTTATCCGGCAGTTTGGGGTATGTGTTTGTTCTACAACGATATCAACATAAAAAAAAACTCTTTAATATCTTAACAAAAAATATATATCTATCCATATTCAGTCATAGAATACGGAATTACGTTAAAAGCGTAGAGAATACAGTGAGGAACCTCTCTTAGTTAGATAGAAAGGGAAGATCGTGTTCCTCGTACCGTTTTATGTACGTACCACGTACAGCTTTAAACGATCCGTCGAACAGAGGGACCCTTTCTTTAAGCATGTCTTTATTCCTAATATATTTTGGTATAGCCGTTTTGGTATAAGTGCTTTATCATTATTGTTTTTTTTTTAGCATACTTTATATTGGCATAATTCGGGTGTAGACAGTAAACGTTAATAAATATATTTATTTTCTATTACTTTTTAATATACTATTACCGTAAGTCACACTTTAATGCTTATTATATCTATAATATTGTTTAAATTAATAATGAAAAAACAAATGTTTCATACTCATTGTCACGTGACAGCAAACAGCGCATAACGTCACGCTCCTTCAAACTTAGAGAATTAAACCTTTCGCATTCATAGAACGATATTAATTGAAGAGTGGCGTGACGTCATAGCAACGCCATGACAGAAGTTGGTGATTGCGCGGGAAATTTTAATATTTAAATTTATTTTTAGATTTTAACTTATTATATGATTGATACTTTTATTACCTCTATTATCTTTAGACTACTTTTTGGCATAATTTTCAAACGCATAACATGAAAGAACCGATTAATAAATTAGGTCATATTAGAACTGTGATCAAAAGGCATGCGAGTTATATTATAGTATGATACGAACTTGCTGTGGCAGCAGATGACAAGCATATACATATAATTGTATTCATGCTTTATATAATTGAAATTATGTTCAGATATTCTTGAGCGGTTGCGAGTTAATATAATTATGAAGAGCAAAATTATCCCATGTGATGTAATATTAAGCCTTAAAATGTATGCAATTGGATAGGGAACTTCAAATAGAGAGGGTACCGAGATCTTCTCTTTCTTTCTGACCGTAAGACAGTTAAAAGGTCTCTTCGTTTGTATGATAATCCGATTCGATATAATTGTTGAAAAGGCGTATTATTAGCTCTTCCGTTATATAACATGAGACAGGAGATTGAATATATCTATACTGAAACAAGAGCTATGAACTATTAATGTATTAACATAATGAGTTGACATATAATACCTGGTAGCCTTATTATTGAGGTGTTGTTGAGACGGTAGCGGGGCGGGCGAACTCCCTGTACGAGTGTGATGGATCACTAAGCCTTGGTTTTGCTGTAACAAATCGCAATTCAATTTCAACATTTTTGATCGAACGAATAGTTTTAGACTGAATTAGATTTCGATAAACTTTAGCAAAAAAAATTATATAATGCAAATCTAATTCGTGTCTACTATGAATTCTTGCACCTTCGTAAATAGAACTAAATCTTCGTACTAAGATTAATAATATCTTATAATCTATAAGCGAGCCTATCCTATAAATATTTTAAATCATCCTGTATTGATCAATCTTTCTATGTGATTGTGCCACAAGCATTTATTTGTAAAGCGATGGCTAGTTACGAATTATATTACAAGTGTTTTTGAGATAGTGGTACTTTGATCCCGATAATTTACATTTAGGTAAAATGTCGATGAGTAAACAGACAATTAAAAATAAAAATCTATCGTGCGTTAGGCCAAAAATTATCGAATAGGGACAAAATATAATTTCTTTACATGCTCTAACATCAAAAGCCAAACAGACCAAATGGTTGTTAAATACACTTTTGTTTATCTCTACGATATATACATAATTATTTGTTTATATATAAATAAAGCACCTGCGTGTGTTCACTATTGAAGCGTAAGCCAATTAGTATTATTACTGTGCTCCAAGTATTAGAAATTATGCAGTAGTTTTAGTGGAACATAAAATAATATTTGTATTGTGGGCAACTTTGTTCAAACTGAATTTTACTAAAAAGGATTCAAATCTTATATTTCCTTTTATGACGGAACAAAACAAAGAGTATCATTTAAATAAAGAACGTAAATTATTCGATAAATATGAAACCAATATTTCTTAAAATATGAACTTGCTTTCATTTTACTTTTGAAAGTTAAACAATGAACATTTAAACATAATCATACCATATTTGAAATTAGGCTGTTTTGCTTTCATAATACACTAAAAAATAATATATTTAGTGTTATGTAGCATTATATTAGTCGAGGAAAGCGGTAGATAGAGAGTTAACGATTACAAATTGATTTGAACAAAGTTATCAATCAGAAAATATATAGTGTTTGGTCGAAACACAACAACAAATTTGGAATAATCTACTCGACATCAATTTACTTACTTAAATTTACAAATTTGCCGATTTACGTTAAAATACGTTCGGAAAGTCCACGTCCTGAAACGTCCGTACAATAAGTCAACCATTTTGATCTGTTTCAGGACATTATAACTTAATTAATCAGAAATAGGGACTGTTATTATCTAAACATAACTGCAGATTTTTTTTTTTCAAACTATTATATAACATCTATAAGCAAAAATATGATAATTAAAACCAAATATAACTAATAATGAACTTTATAAGCCAAATCATTTTTCACGTTATATTTTGTTTTAGTTTATATCGAATGAAAAAATTGACAATATAAAAAATATTTATATAAAAATCTGGGAATAAACAATGAAATAGTCTATACAATGTTACGTCCTAGAGAATGTCTAGTCTAGGTACACACCAACTAAATAATAACGACAAATCATGTTACAGCCAGTTCAGATTTAATAATTGAGAGACAATAGACCTAAACAGAAAAAGTATCAAAACGATTCTGGCTCAGCATATGCTGGTATTGCGATAAGCGAGCTCTTCCGTTGGAACAGGTTTATTGAAGTCACGAACAGTAGAACATTTTTAATACCATAGCAGAACGGTTCAAAACTACCAAGTGTGTCTCAAAGAGCTCTATAATTTTTTCAGATGATAAAATACGTAGTTTGTAACTTCTTTTGCTGTTAAGTGATGTTTTCACGACTGTCTGTGCGAACCTAGAGTTATATTTAATTTTTGGGTATGTTCTACTTTGGTGGATGTTGTAACAATGCAAAAGTACCATAATGCCTTGAAATAATTAAAATTCATTTTACCTCACTCGGCGATTCGTGGAGTCTGTGGTAGCCAGGCGGCGGTTGCTGTTGAGTTTTCCCACTCGCTAACTTTAATGGCAACTGTTGTTTCACCTTTGGAGAAATATTATTTTTAATTAACATCTATTTAAACTAGCCAAATAACACGTGGAATACATTATCGCTGCATATTCTTTTTAGGATGTAAGTTCTCAATAAGACGGGATTTTGCGAAATCCAACCCCTAACAGCGTGTTTTTGGGGTTGATAGTAAGTATGAAACAGATTCAGCAGGGACGATTTATAAAACAATAACGTCAACTCTATGTGTTCAACAAGCATTTAAATAGGGTACTTATTATTTCACCAGTTTAAAAAAAATGTTGGACGACTCAACGTTTTTCAAATATTTTGACTCTGATACACAAACGATTCCCCGTGACTCAAAAGTGACTTAACGCACATTTTTTTATATGGGTACTTGTCTATTGCAATTTATTTAAAAAATGTTGTAGGGGTGTAACGTGCGTCGTACCACCGTTTATTTCGTCCTAGGTTTCCGCATGCAAACTTTTTGTCTTTGATTCTCAACATAATTGATTTTTATTATTCACCTTTCGTAATTTGAAATATTGAGTAATCCAATATGCTCTTTATGAATATTAGTTCGGAAAAAAATCATCTGTTGTGAACATGATAATTTAATTGTATTAATCTAATAATAATAAAGTTATTATAATTTAAACCAGAAAGATGTAAACATATATCTTCGTGAAATATCTACCAAGCTTTATCTATTAAGGAAAACCCAGAAACGGGGTATGTATCTGTTCTATTTAACTGTTTTCAAAATCAAAATCAAAAAATCATTTATTCAGTCTAGGCTGTTACAACCACTTGTGAAAGTCGAGAACATTATTTTATTTTGGTAATCATACAAACATTTTAATTATATTATTTTGGTTATCATACGAACTGTTTTATATTCTTTTTTTTTGTTACAGTTTTTTTTATCATATTACCCTCAAATAAATCAAATTTTCAAGCTTAGTCAGCCTTTTATTAATTTGTCTAAGCATGGAACCCATCTTTTCATCATAAATAATAATAATAATAAAGTTTATTTCCCACATTGTTGCACAGTATTATACAAAAGCAATAACGACATCATTAAAAAGAAACTATATTGGCTGTGCCACAGTGGAGAAAAAGTCTCCGGCTCAGCATATATCACGACGACAAAAATCTTATCGTCATGACGCCGATTTTCAGACGGAGGCTAATAGTTGCGCGTGAGTTGTTATTTATAAGACTAAAGTATGAAATCGTCGCTTTAAATGAGTACGAATATATAAATCGCTACACTGACCGATATGGCGGGCGCGCGCACGGTGGCGCGCGTCTCGTTCTGCGCGGACAGCAGCTGCGGCGGCGGCAGCGCGCCCGCGCCCGGCGCCGCGCCCGCCACGCCCGCCGACGACTCCGACCCGGTGGAGCCGCGGTTATCTGACACACCACCGTTACAGATCACACATCAATCAACATCATAGTTAGCCCTTTTACGTCCCCACTGCAGGGGCTCAGGCCTTCCTTACGGATGGTTAAGGAGCAATCCACGCTGGCCCAATGAGGATTGGAGGGTAACGACCGCAAATGCAGCCGGGACCAACGGTTTAAAGTGAAGTAGCTCGAGATAATAATTTTTCGGTCACCTATCCTGTACGGTTTATACCGCACATTAAGCATATTACCGTGTCAGGTCAGCATTTACGTATTCATTCACATTTTCTATACATCAACAGTGCAATCGAGGCATTGTCGCGAGCATCAAGTATCAAGTGTTTCAATCGCTAATAAATCAATATTAAAATCAACAAGGATTCTTATTTATCCCGTGACCGACTCTTGCGAAAGTTGCTTAACGACAACGATCGCAGGCCGCGGCGCTTATTCACTACGCCACCGAGCTACTCCAATCTCACATCAAACCGAACCAGAATACCTTCGCTTCATACTAAATTAATATCTGACCTATTTTAATATGCGTAGAACAACGATGAATGTAGTATGTATCATGTGGAAGTGCTAATACATCCTCCAGAGAAACACATTTTTCGATCATTTATAATGTCACAGATAATCTTCACGGATGTGATTCGAATTTTAGTTCGAAGATGAATAGAAAAAGCCCTCAGATGACATATTACATCGTACGAGTTATAATTTTGGCAACTTAATAACATTTACTTAGATTTGATCAGAAGTCAACACTAGTGACACTAGTTATTCCATCTTGCGGTAAGTACTGATTAAATAGTCGGATTGACTTGACTGTTTTGGGAACAGTATTTTAAAACTTTCATATGATCACATTAAAACACTATCAGATTTTTCTTCAAAAAGTGTAATTATAATAAAAAAAAATATGTCACGTGACATTCCGAGCCGTAAAGTCACTTTTCAATAAACATGAGTATTGCACTCGCAACAAAGATGATAAAGTTTAGATTATTGAAATGTGCCGTCCATACGATTGGCAAGTGAAGAATTTTCCCATGGAAAAAGTGCGTGCATCTATTGATAACTGGCCTCAAGGTTTAGAAATGTCTTGCAGCCACTGGAAGCCACTTCCAAAAATTTATATATATTTTAATGGCTTTAATGTATTAAATATATTAAACTAACATAGTGTAATCGTAATAAATGTTACGTTCGATGATTAAAATGTGCATTTTCTATATAACAATATTTATGGCAAGACTATGTACTGACTTCTCTTTCTTTATTTTCTAGTATTACGCGCATTTTTGTTATCTTACGTAAGAACTAGCAAGAATCTCAAAATCTTACGTAAGAACTTAATAAATAGCGTTTTTGTTGTTTTTGCTGAGACCGAAACAAATCACGATTGTCTTTTATTAAAGTTCAATTTTAACACTTATTGAAACATTATGAATATGGTTGTTTTATTCATATTGTCGAGGGTCTATTCTGTATGTGTGTCACTCACTTCGCCATTTGGACTCTTTCCGCCTCGTCGTATCGGTGACTGTAGAATCGGGAGATAATGTACCGACACTAGCGATCTCCTCTTGTGAACCACCTGCACAACAAAAACGTTTCTCTTTAAAACTTAAGCATTTGTTTTTATGTGAATTAAACTTTCATTATTATGTTCCAGATTCCTGATTAAGTCTAGTTTTCTAATACAACAAGGTCGTATTTCGTTTACATTCGATATCAATACATATTATTACAAATTTAAGTAATCTCTCTGTAATAATATATACTTATAAAAACCGTTCTTATACCAAAATTCAATAGGTATTAACCTATCATATTTAATGTGCATTATATAACATAGTCACTGAGATTTTAATTTACGTAGAAAATTAATTCTTATGACGTATATCTTAAGGTGTATATTTGCTCACCGTGTTGCTGCAACCTTTCGAGCCGCCTGTATAACCTTTCACGTTGTTGTTCCACATCTTTTTGTTGTTCTGCCAACTCTTCTCTAGCCGCTTGTAGCTGCCGTTTTTCTATTAACAAATTTATATAGTTCGAATTATGTACAGTAAACAGCACATCATTCTTTATAACACTGTCAAATTTCCCCACTCGATTTTAAACCTTATTATATTGAAGGTATACGTCAAAATCCATTGCAGAAGAATGACATATTGTGGTAACCCGACTTACAGTCGTGTGAACATTGGTTTAAGAAAATAGAAGTACAGTCATTGTAAAGAAGCATACAGTAAAAAATTGTAATTTTGATAGTTGTCATAGTGGCCACCCACGCGACTCGGTCGGCGGTGAGTTTGTTAGAGTGTATGATATAGAAAAGTAACGTCACCCGAAGGTAAAACTAAAAAAAGTTCAAAAACAGGGTATTTATCTAAAAATAATAATGTATAACAAATTACCTTTAAGTATTACAAACAAAAACCACAGTATCTTTAAAAGTATTCTGAAATCTTTTTTTGAGCAAAATCCTTTCTATTCCTTGAATAAATTTTTGACGATGCGTATAAACGAATCTAATTTTACGACATGATGTAATAAGATACTGTAAGATTTATTTTTCTCTTGAGATTGATTTAGATTTATTTGAACTATTAATTGTGAACTGACATACCTTGTATAACAATATTGTTATAAATGGCTAATAAATAAATTGAAATTGTATTCTGTACTGTATGATATAATGTATGATGTAGTGTATGCTGTAGTGTATGATATAGTGTACGCGGTGGTTACCTAGTGCGATGGCGGCCCTGTCGGCGGAGCGCATGGCCTCCCACGCGGCTCGGTCGGCGGTGAGTTTGTTATAGTGTATGCTGTAGTGTATGATGTAGTGTATGCTGTAGTGTATGATTTAGTGTAGGCGGTGGTTACCTAGTGCGATGGCGGCCCTGTCGGCGGAGCGCATGGCCTCCCACGCGGCTCGGTCGGCGGTGAGTTTTGCTTGCGCGTGCCTCAACTCCTCTAATTGCGCGTCGTGTGATCGCGCCGCGTTACCGCCGCTGGATCGCCACGCGCACACTTGAGCTTCCAAACTATATAAAACGTTAAGATAACATGTTTGATTAAATTCATTTCCTTTTTTATTTTGTCTAAGTTTAAAGTATATTAAAATGCAGGTGTGACGAGCTTCATGCCCCAACTTTAAACTTAGACAACTGTCCTATAACTTTAGCTGAAATCGCAATCACATAAAATTAAAATAAATGAAGGAAAGGTCAACCGTCAAAATCACGGCTCTAGGAAATCGACCGGACACTGAAAGAAATATTTTCCCTTACGCCGTCGTAAGGGAACATATAATAACAGATGGAGAAAAAATAATCTGAAGAGAGCAGAACAGAGATGGATACATAAAAAATATATAAGCGTCATCACCTGTGTATTGTGGTGAGTTGCTGCCACACGATGCACGTGAGAGTATAAATCGCGTGTTGAAGTTTGAGAGCCGCTGACCCCCCCAGCTGTTCCAGAAGTCGAGGCTCCACCACTTCGCCGACATTATCGCCCTCTATAGGCGTTTCAGTCGACAGTCGAGGCAGACCTGTGACACAGTCATAATTACCTATAATATTATTTTTAGAAATCCTTTTTTATTTAATTGGAACAAATAATGCTATAAGGTGCTGGATCAAACCAAACTAAGTGTATCATATATAAATTCTCATCATCCGACTTGGAAATCTTTCTTTAGTATTACAGTATGTAGAACCAATGTGGGTATAGGTGCCCCTGTGCCAAGGCTACTAAAGTCGTACAATAGTTGGCATGAAATTTTTCACCTTGATATCTTTCATGACAATTTTCCACACTATAAACATAAAATACTCACATCGACCTATAATATGACTTTAAAGTGAAGAACTGATTATTTGACAACTGATATTTAATAATTTACTCTATAATAGAATTTTTTACGTTGGTTTTGTATTGTGTATCACTATTTATTTTTGCAGGATAATTTATTAATTATATTTTAATTGTAGCAATGCTATGCATGTCATGATTATGATAAAAAAGACAACAATAAAAGGTGGTATAAAAAATAAAAACTGACTTAAAAATTGTGCAAATATAAGCAAGTATCATATTTGTGCATTGTTAGTTTATTAACAAATATAAGTCTTACCTCGATGACGACTATGATCGAATCCCGCGAAAGTATCAGCTCGACGCGGTAGAGCGGGACTTTCATAAGCACGCGAATGTCTCTCGCCCGCTGAACTAGTGCTCCGCCCTAGAGCTCCACCCGCCGTCCACGTACCACTCGACACATCTAAAGCTTCCTATCAGGATTTAAACAGCACAAATATTACTAATTTATATATATGTATATGGCTACTTGACATTTATAACAATAAATTATGAAGTATATTGGAACTGGTATCTTATATGTAAACGATAAATATGTAATATGTTTTGTTTTAAAACAAATTGTAAGTATTTCTACATATTTGTCATTTATTAATCTGTGGATTACAAAAATCGAACAGCCATGACTGAGCATAGCGTGACGTCACATTTCAATACACTAAACGTCTACGTTCTCGTTGCGAGTACTAATAATTATTAAAATATGACTCGCTCACGAAGTGTTATATGACTTATTGTGCTCATTTTATGTTTTTCCTTTATAAACACTTTTTGGAGAAAAAATCAGACAGCGGTTTAATATGACCATTATAGATGTTCTAAAATACTTTTTTCTAAACAGTCAAGTAGCCAAGTGTTTCTCACGCTGACTTTATTATAAATAATGAGATCTAATAATTTCAACTTCATTACCTTTCGTATCGTAAAAGAAGAACTAAAGTACAAACTAACCTTAACTACTCTGCAAACTTCTTGCCACAACGCATGCGTGTCGGGCGACGGTGCAGCCAGTCGCACGTACTCCGGGAACACTAAACCACCGGGAAACGTAGCTTCAGGCACTCCTACACAAATATAACTCTTATTTCTCTCACATAAGACTCAAAACCGTGTATACAAAATCTCATTTGCATTACAGAAGCCCTACTAAAAACTATTAGCATGAATTGTTAAATGTAAAGGGAGACAACAGATAATATAGTCATGCATTCAGTTAAAGAACTCCTCCCTTAGCCGATCATTACTTGCACTCTCCACAGTTCTTACAAATACTTCCAACTTCAAGAAAATAATTCAAAAGAATTACATTTAGTGTACTAAACAGATAGCGTATAACTTAAAATTAGATAAGTTACCTGTGTTTGGTACATCTAGTTGGTTATTGCCAGTATGCGCTGTCATTTTCAAATGCAATGCCATTTTCTCTTCTAACAGCGCCGCGTGTTCTCTATCCTTAGCTCGTAACGCTTCTATAGAAACAAGTATAAATATACACATTTGTTTGAAATTAACTTCAATAAAAAGTTTTCTTTACTACAGATTTATTTTAAAATTCAGGAATTGTTTTATTTTTAGATGATGATGATGCATTATATGACCACGAGTTTGCTGAGGATCCGAACTGTCTAATAATAATAATACTAATTGAAATATCTATTTCATGTTTTAATTTTTTAAAAGGTATAATAGAACAAATGTCGCATTAACGTTCAATAATATGCATGTCAAAAATGAAGGATATGTTTAAAAAAAAAACACAGATTTTGTAATACAAATTAATCTACGCAAGTCAAATTTCTACTTGATTACATCACTAAACGAAAATCTATGATGAATTAATATATAAAATATCAAGAAACGCCAGCAATATGATAAATAATAAATGCATTATGTAAATAAATAAATATTATGAAGTTAAATATGTACTCAAAATGTATTCAACTGCTACTAACGTGCAACATACTTCAAATAACATACTCAAAGAAACATTGACCAAAATTAATTTCTATTATCTCATAAACAAATTTCTTCCAACGAGAGATTAAACTGCAGTCACTAGTAATGAGACTAAAAATTCTATAAGTATTAAGATAAGCTTAATTTTTTTTTAAACATGCTCAACATTAACAGAACATTAAAATAAAAATAGAACATATTCTGATAACTACGGTACAGTCTCGATCAACAATTTAAACACGTATCAAATGTTTTGACTACATAATTCTATATACTATCACAAGACTATGTAGAAATATTAAGGATAATAATCCACCAATTCATGCACATTAATTTCACCTTCTATTTGCCACCACGGAGTATCGTCTGCTTGTCGTCAAAATTAAGGCAAAATTAATGATATTAAGATAAATATTTTTATCTAACATGTCAAATAAATAACTATCGACATAATGCATTAAATATTCAATTCATAAATTCAATGCATCAAAATAAAATATCATTCTTAATAATACTAAATGTTAATTGTTTCTGTTGTATATTTTCTAATTTCTTTATATAGGAGTTAAGCTTTTATAATATCAAATTTATAAAGGGTAGAGATTATCTCTGCTCTTTTTATATTATTCTCCCCTATAAGTTGCCAGAAGGATATTGCTCTCAGCATTAAGGTCGCCTTTACTGTTCTCTATATTTCCATACTGAGTAATTTTATGTCATAGTTGTATCATATACTATCATTATCAGTATAAGTAACCGACCTGTGATCAGTCTTATATTCTCGTGACGCACTTCGAGTTGTCGCTGCCTTTCATCAGCAGATGGCGCCAGTGAGGCCGCGTCCGGTTCCTTCTCCTCCTCCGGACAGTGCTGTACTGCCGTTCTAAGATCAATTTTTCAACAAATTGAAATAACTGTTTGCGTGGAAGAGATCGCTATTCAGAGATAAGACCGCCTGTTACACATCTATTATTAATATCTTCTCCTTTGTTATTTGTATATTTAACTTTGTAATAAAATAAAGTGTATCGATAAATAAATAAATAAAAATAATCAGTCTTGACTGACGATAATTTTTGTGAAAAAATATCCAAGACACTCTAAATATCGAGTAGCCATCCAACATATAGCTTTAACATTTTGTTTTCTTAACACTCCGTAGCGTATTTGTAATATCGATTTTTAGTTCGTAACTTTTTTAGTTTTTGGTCCCTCGAGATAAGAGAATGTATCGAGTACAGGAATTAACAGTGGGCAATAATAGTACGATTATCGAACGTAAAACGGAAGACTAGGTCTCTTACTAACCCTACCCCCCTACCCCATAAATAAACAAGGTTTAGCATCAGATCAAATTTATGATAAAATTGCAATTTTAGTATTGGTCCAAATTCATATAATACAGAGAATAAGCAAACCTACCTTCTAGGAGTAAAGGAGTACGACTCCCGTAGAACCTCGTACTAGGTTATCCTTTGCTAAGTCTCTTTTTTAATAATATGAATTTTTACCAATACTAAGTGCAGTCTCAGCGTAAATTTACTCCAACACTAAACTTTGTTTTTTAGTAACACTGTATTAGTATTATGAGTATGATTTTTTTTATTTTATTTCAATTAGCGATTTTGAAGCATGTCCGTCCCATCATAGCCTGTGATACGTTTCAACTGTATGTAGGTATTATATAATGATGATTTTGCGCCCCCTGACACTGGCGTCCGGCCCCTTAGATCCGGCTCTGGTAGAGAGGGTAGATAGATATATCAACCAATAACACCCACTCAATTTCTCTGTGTTCACGCTTGCAACAGCGAAATATCAGGAAATCAATCAAAACGGTAATAATCCCTTAAATAACTATTTACTCTAAAACTAAGAATACTTCGGTTGTAACTACAGAATACTTTGTTTTCATACATTACCCTACTTAAAACATGAATGTTTATGCTGTAAATGTGGAGGTTATATTTACCTGATGGCCTGTATCCATGAGTGTATATCCTTGGGCCGGTGTACCCTCAGTTCGAACATCTCAGGCTCAGCTGGCCCGCTACATATCAGATATAACCCTCGACCTTCCGCGCCCGCCTTCTCGCGCACCAATAGTTTCACCAACGATACCACGCCCGTCTATACCAACCAAGTCATCGACAATCATTTACTTATTGTAATCGATATCTTTAACGATCTCTATTAATTTATTAGCTTTTGTTTTTTAAATTTTATCGACATTCCTAAACTATGCAAAATATGCGATAAGTAAGAGTAAAATTAACATCAAAAACATTTATTTTTGTTAGAGATTAAAGTTTTATGACAATCTATTACCATGCAGTTCTTATTACAATTGAAAACTTACCTTATTGTCGGGCGTGAAGAATGTATATTTGTTGTTATTGTCATGTAAGAAGAACAGAACGTCTGTTAAAACTATCACAAGGAGTGTTTGCATTTTACTTCGGCCTTGCATTAACGTTGCTACACCTTCAAACCTAAAACAATACACAGAATATTTTATAGCCTAACTACAAAAAACATAAGGATACACTTATAACTCAGCCGATATTTAAATAAGGTTGAAATTAGTATATTACAAATTGCATTCATATAAGATTTAGCGTAGCTTACTTTAAACTTCTATTGCCCTGAAGGATGTCGCTCTTCTTGAACTTGCGACCTCGGAAGTTAGCGAATGATTTCGCATCAATGCGATGATATATTTCTAATTTCCTGTCCTCCCGCTCTTTTGCAGCTACTTGATTGTCTACATCTACTAAGATTTCCTGTAAAAAAAAAAAAGAAAACACAATAATCACTTATGTTCTGTAGTGATTTTTCCATCGTATTAAAAAATGGTTAGTGGCTTCTTGCTGCTTGTACGCTGAAATCTTTTAAACTATACAACAAGTTTAAATTCCATTTTCATCAATAGACAGAGTAAATCAGGGGGAAGATATTATATATAATATTTATATGTATAATACAGGATTACGCGGGCAAAGCCACTGGTGGCAAACTAATTATAGAATAAAATAAGTTTGGTACCTTAACACCGCAGAGTGCTTTCTGTAAAAGTTCCCTTTCGTTAGCATCGTCGCCTGCGGTTTTCAATAATGGTTCCAGAAGTAACGGATATTTGGTCAGTCTTTGTGCCACGAACAGAACACATTCCGGTACACCCTTAGAACAAAACATTAATATTGAAGTTTAATATTGTTAAATTTAATAAATATTGGAGTTGTGTAATGAAAATTATTTTGGGGCAATATAAATTTTTAAAGAAAAGGGACGTAATCAAGGGTCTAATAACTTATAATGATAGAACTATTATGATTCAAAATTCCAATGAAACTATAGGCATTTAAAATCAAATGTCCCATCTGTCTTCAAAAAGTCGGAACATCAATAAAAAAGCGTCTATCTATGTGATATAAGTACCCCACTTTATAAATGTGATAGTGCATTACCTTTTTCCTGAGCATAGGATTTTGTTGACACTTTCGTATGAACCGCGCAAGTCGCGGCTCTCGAGTACAACAGTCTTTGAACACTTCAACTGCTTCGTGATGCCGCGAACAAAACTCACCTACCACAAGCATACATATAATGAATAGTACTAATATACAGATACTAGTGGACGCCCGCGACTTCGTCCGCGTGGAAGTCGGTATCCCGTGGGAGTGAGAAGTTTTCCCAGTAAAAAGTACCCTATGTGTTATTCTGATGTATAACCTATATTGCTGTAAAGTTTTATCCAAATCCGTCCAGTAGTTTTTTCGTGAAAGAGTAACAAACATCCATACATCCATACTTACAAACTTTCGCCTTTATAATATTAATAGGATATTAAAAGGTCAAGTGTACACATAACTTGCCTGTGCCTAAACTTGACCTCTAATTAATTTGCCTATTTTAATGACAATCGTCTGTTTGTACGCATAATAGATACAAGAAGTACACAACCGACAGATAAGACCAAAATAAATCCTTTTTTGATTCATATACATTAGACCACGCAGCTTATAGTTTGTCCGTCAGCTCGTTAGCTGGCCGATGGTGATATAATACTTGACGCTCATTTAAACTACGCGAAAAATAAATAATATAAAAAAACTGATTTCAAAGAGCTTAAAAGTGAATAAAAAAAAATCTATCTAAAAAGCGGTTGTCAAATCCTAATTTAAACCAGAGTTGTTAATAATTATAATGATCCCAAAAATTTAGTATCTCGGTTTAATTTCGTGTCGAGTACTCAGAAATTCATGTCTTTATGAGGAGACCCTGGGCTCACTCTCGTATTGATAGTACACCGCAGGGAATTCAGTAGGTATGCCATCCTTCAAATTCAAATAGCATAGATGCAAAAGGACTATTTTCTCAAAGAAATAAAAATAAAGTATACATTGATTGACCGTATATTGTGTTATTTGTTTATATAAACGTAATTTGCTTTATAATTAGTTCCTTAATTTTCATATACGCAATATATTTTTCAATTCACAATAAGCATATGTCACGTGTACTCATCATTGTCGTATGTATAGTATATCACTAATATCAATGTTTAAATGTATTTCAATCCTTTCAAAGGTATACTTTGTGATAGCGATTGAGATAACAATTTTAGTTAACCATAACAAGTAGCAATAAAACAAACAAAAATACAAATATAAATTATATTTACACGCGCACTATCCATAAATGAAGCAACTTTTAAATAGTTTCATCGCGTTCGTATTTGGTTTTATTAACGTTCCGAACCCTTAACAGGTTCCGTATTCACATAAGATTATGGTGATGATTGTCTTTATAGTTATAAAGACAATCAACATCGATGAAACATATCGACGCTGGAAAGCAAACACGTAGTAACCTGAAAATAAAAATGGATATTTAGAGTGGAAAATCTCTTTTTTTTTTTGGAAAATCTTAGAGTGAAAAGGTTTTCAAAAAAAATCTTTTTTCTGTATAAATTGACTAAGGAACACCTTATTTGTTACCATGGACGTTTATAGGAATTATTTATCGAAAAGAAATAAAAGTTTTTGTGCTCTGAAGAACACTTTTGGTTTCCGGGTTACTACGTGTTTGCTTTCCAGTGTCGATATAATCATGTGAAATTGCAATAGTTGGTATTATGAACGTACCGTACGCGGCCTTGAGCCTGTGCTGCGCGGGCGGCGCGAACGTGTCGGCGAGCACGTCCGCGATGGTGGCGACGGCGGGCGCCTGCCGCTGGCGCGCGCGCAGCCGCCCCAGCAGCGCCGCGTGCAGCGCCCACAGCTCCTCCACGCGCGGGAACATGCGCGACACCTGCGCCCCGCTGGCGCCGCCCAGCCGGACCATGCCCTCCACGAACATCTACCACAGCACAGTATTTATATATTTGCAGAACTAGAAAAATGTTCTATCCCCCGGGATGCCGGAATTTGTGGGGTCCACGTATATATATTATATAATCCAAATGAAACAACGAATAGGGTTGATAACTGTGTTAAAAAAAAATCTATTTAGTCCCTCAGTCAAATAATTGAAAAATATTAGATACGTATTTTTTTTACTTTAAGTTAACAAGAAATGACTTAGATAATAGGCGTGAAGTCATGCGACATTTCGATTCAATGTATCGTCGTAATTTATTGATTACGCATTATAAAAAATAAAAAAAATACGTGTTTAATAGTCTTCAATAATCTATCCGACGGACAAACAAACCATAATCAGTCGTCAGTTGATATATTTGGAAAGCAGATTATTATAATAACGCTAATGAACCAAATCATTATGAATAAACACCAATAATACAATACAGAAAATAAATATTATTAATAAAAAATGAATCAGTGAAAATAAAAAATAAAAAACTCACCTTTTGCATAAGCCGTATCGTCAGACAGTGGTGTTTTTCTGTTAGTATCAACTCGTATATGTGCTCTTGCCGTTTGGTTTCTCTTTCACCGAGAGATCTGCAAAGAAAAAATAATTATTCTTCTGAATAAAATACATAATACTCAATCGTTTCATCAAACTGCTACTGATTCAAAATTATATAAACACTAGCTGTTTTTCCGCGACTTCGTGTGGCTTCTCGTAGCTGAAAAAAAACTTAAATCGGTCCAGTACTTTCGGAGAGTATTCAATACCAACAAACAATCAAATCTATCGTTATAATATTAGTATAGATCAATTCGCCATTTCAACCCCTTGAGTATTATCATATTGAAACATTTTAATATTCTTAATGAAAAACCCACAAGGCCCATTTACCCAATCTCGGGTTAAAGATTTTTTTTTTAAAGTATATTTCCCAGTATAGCATTGTGAATGCAAAATTGATAAATACATCTAGCGACCAATGTTCTTGGTTCACACAAGGATATTGATAGCTAATACGAGACCTGATTACCGCTCAGATATTTTCTGGCTTATTCTGACTTAAAGTGAAGACCTGGACGATCCCCTTTTATTGGGTTCACAGGAAAATATTTAATCTACATTGTTTTTAAGAACTTGTTATAGTTTTATTAACTATACTGATTAAAATGGTAATCCAAGCATTGATTTGCTAAAATGATAAAACTGTATGAAATATTCACAATAAACACAATGATTTATATTCGGTGTTTCTTTTTTCCCAATCTGGTCACCACAGGACATAAAAATATACTTTCCATAGGAATAGTAGCCCAATGGTATCTTACAAGAACAATTTTTTAGCTTCTGATAGCATAAATATATTCTATGTAATAGTAGTATAATATGTAAAACTTGCGTCAAAAAAAATTTTATGCTAGAAAGATAACATCGGAATATATATATACCGCCTGCATTTAAAATGACTCTCCAAATTTTTTCTAGGCATTAGGTATCGTTAATAGATCACATATATGAAAAAAAAACAGTATGTAAAATTTTCAAAATGAAGTGTAAACTTTTTGTAATTACAAGATAATTATAACATTCGCATTGTCACATTAGTTATGAACGAAACGAGCAGGGGTAGCAAGGGGCGCGGGCGCAGGGGATGCGCCGCGCATGCGCCGCGCATGCACCGCCGACGATATCTGCTCGGTTTTTTATTTAGTCGGCAACATCAGTCACCCGCGCATAATCCCTTTGAACGCACGCGCTTCCGCCTTTGCTTCCGTGTTGCGCGCCACCCGCCGCAGCCCCACACTTCGCGCGTCGGAATGTATTCCAATCGCGAATATTACGAAATGGTGCGGTGTTACATTTTAAGCGGTGAAAGTTTAAATGCAGCTCGGAGACTATACGAAACAGAATCCATCCCAGCCCTGCAAAATCAGGGATTAATAAACCCCGCAGTACCTAGTCGCGAGACATTTTTGGCTGTGAACCAAAGGCTATTGGACTATGGTCAATTTACTACGCCTGCTCACGCTCGCGGAGGTGGAAGATCAAGACTTGCAGTTGAAATCGAAGATGAAATCTTGGATTTCTTCGAAAGGGACCCGCGAGCCAGTACACGAGATGCCGCACGCCGATTTAACGTAAGCCACTATGCCGTGTGGAAGCTGCTGAATGTGACAGGGCTACACCCTTACCACTTCCAAAAGGTCCAAGCTCTACACGATGGAGATAATGTGCCCCGTCGCACCTTTTGTGAATGGCTGATTGCACACCCTAATGCCAACATTTTGTGGACTGACGAAGCATTGTTTACTCGTGTGGGGCTTTATAACCATCATAACGAACACTGGTGGTCCTTCAGAAATCCGCATATGATTCGGGAAACCCACCATCAAGTGCGCTTTAGTGTCAATGTGTGGGCCGGTGTTATAGGCACGAAAATACTGGGGCCGTACTTCATCGAAGGGCCGCTCACCGGCGGCAACTTCCTCGATATGTTGCGGCATGTCATTGCCGATTTCATGGAGGACTTGCCCGTGGCCTACTTCCGGGATTTTTATTTTCAACTGGACGGTGCACCACCCCATTACGCCGCCGCCGTCCGAGATCATCTCACCATAGAATATGGTGATCGATGGATTGGACGCGGAGGCCCCATCGTGTGGCCTGCTCGATCGCCGGACCTAACACCGTGCGACTTTTATTTGTGGGGTGAAATCAAAAGACGTGTGTATTTTGAAGAAGCACAAAGCCTCGAGGACTTAAAAGTGCAAATTAGTGCGGCATTTGACCACGTGAAAAATGACACTGTAGTGCTCGCCAAATTAAAAGACAATGTGCAAAAACGTGCAAGACTCTGTGTGGAGAGGAACGGTATGCACTTTGAACAATTATTAAAGTATACGTAGGTAAATAGTTAAATTAGGTAGGATAAAGTGATTAGTTGATTATGTACATAAAGTTGATGATTTTTTAAATACGCCTGATTGCAAAGAATATCTAGTTACGTACCTACTTTTTTTATTATTGGTTTAACTAAACAGAATTTTAGGTAACTTGATATTTGCTTACCTACTTATTTATAAATTTAAAGCAGTATAGTTATTGTAATAGTAGGTATCTAATAGAATTTTTGCAATTTGACGGTCCTAAGCCCGTAAAAGTATGAAGGAAAGGTTTCAACTTTATGTACCATTTGCCCTAGCATAAAAAAACGAAAACATTTTAGGTAGCTGCTACTAACTCGCAAACGTACTTGTATTACTATCAATGAATTGCGGGAAGGGAGGGGGGGGGGAACTAACGTAGCGCGTAAAGCGCACGTACTGGGCAGCGGGAGCGTCCACAAATGTATGTTTTTTGAAAATAACTTGGTGACGATATAACTCAACATTTTTGTTCTAAACGACATAAAAAGAAAAAACACGTATTTCATTATTTGTCGTAAAGATTAACATACTAAAATTTGGAGAGTGGTTTTAAATGCTTCTTGTATATATTTTTCCCAAATACAGCAAAATTGTTTGAGCGGTTAAAACTTCATCAGCAGACAAGAACAAATTTCACATTATAACTTTTTATGCATAAACACTAATACACATCGGTATAACACCACAAAACATTATATTTCAGTAAGATAGAATCTACTTTTAATGCTTTAAGGTTTAAATATACCCTCATAACATAATGGACCTGAGTTCTCGTGAAATATATAACATACACTGCTAAATCAAATAAATATTATTCTGAAATTTATATATATATTTTTACTTGGCTAATCCTTTAGGCGCGCCGGCTGCCCACGTATCCGGTTCTGAAGCGCCCAGACCGAGTATCGTCGCCTCATCGCCCAGTTGGTCCGGCGTCAAATACACTTCAGGCCATTCCCCCGCGCCGGCGTCATCAGATGCACTATGATGAAAAATCACTTAGAACATACGATAGCGATAGAAATATATAATTGTAATGTCCCCAAATTTCGTAACATTTTATTATTTCTAGATGATTTAGTGGATAGAATAACTAAATTGGTAATACTGCTGTCAAATCAATAATCATCTTTATCAAATTACATGTCGAAGAAGTAAAATGAAACGAAATATCGACAAAACATCGATAAGATGACGTATCCCGTGACTCTAACACTAATTAAAATACATTTTTTTTATTAACATAACATAAACTTACTTGCTCTGATCGTGTTTGTGATCGGAACCATCTTTATCGTCGTTATATGCATGGCTCGTGCTGAAATGAAAATAATATTTATCAGACAAATTTTTAAATGGGAATGAGTATGGCAATTCCACAGAATAACTTGGGCATAATTTAGTTAACTAATTTATTAGGTTTACAAAAAACTAAAGATTACTAGTTGAAGAATACTGTTTACTTACCATTGACACTTCTATACCTATAGATATTGAAGATAAGGTAGGGTTACCTTAAAAAAATATAAGACCCAATTTATTCCGTATGTATTGCCATAGGATAAAAATATAATAATACCAGAAGATATAGACAGGGTCAAAGATCAGCCGACACGACAAATGACAGTATGAAACGATAGGTTACAAAATCATCAATATTGAGTTAAACAGGTTTTATTAAAATATTTGGATTAAAAAAAAAACAACTCTTCCTTCCATCAACATAATTTATCATTTCGAAATATAAAAACAACAGTTAGCAAAGCCTAAATAATAAAAATAAGCATATATTGAGAAAATTCACTTGCACAGTATTTCAACTTAATAAAGAACATGCATTCTTTAATTTTTATTACGAAATAGTAATTGCGAAGTACCTACAGATATCCACCAATATTGTCAGATGTAACAATTTAATCTATATGTCACGTGTGCTAAGAAAGGAAAAAGAATAAAGGCTACCAAATACAAACTATTCACATGATCTCACTACGGTTTCTTAATTGTTAGTTGAGTTATATCATTGTTATTTTATTTAAAGACTTTATATTTATTAAGTATTTTAACGGTCTTTATAATATAACACTTTTGAATAAATTTCGTAAATTTTATAAATGTGTTAATTTAAAATTATTTAAACCACATGGTATTCATAACCAAATTGAAATGCTCAAAAAAAAAGAAGAATTACGAAAATGACATTTGAAAGACTCGAAATAATTTGTGATAAAATAATAATTTCATTATCGCTGTAATTTTTATAATTACAACAGTATGTTATTAGTAACGTATATTCATATCGATTATAAACTTTAATGGTTACGAATTAGGGTTTATAATTAGGGTAAATAACCAGTTTATATGATGTGGTGATGAACCACCAATGTTTAACGTACCTATAATTTCTTTCCTAGCTAGACTATTTTGCTTTACTGTATAGTGTTATCGGAATCATCTTAAACTTACACATGATGATTATTTTATCCTTTTCTAACACACTGACCGAAATAAAGAGCTAAAATAAAGACCACCAGCTCAAAAACTCATTCGAAGAAAAAACCAAGATCTACGACAACATTTCTTAAGAAGATCAAACTACCTCGGTAACAGACAGAAAGATACACAAGTAAGGTCGTACATGGAATCGAGGGCTATCTAGAAGATTCTGTCTCTGATGTGTGATGGACTAACGTACGAACGCGCGATTTTAGAGGCACATTTCATTTGTGAGAATAGGCATTCTGATTACTTATTTTATGTCAAGATGTTTTTTATTTAATATATCTAATATGTTTAAATTCACAAATAAAACTCCTCTAAAAGCTTATAAAACAAGATAAGAAATAAAACCACAATCAACTGAAATAACCTAACCTAAAAAACGCCGAGTGACCAGAATATTTGGAGCCGCGTCGCAAGTGACACAGTAATAGAGCGAGACAGAACGATGACAGTGAATGCATGTATGATGATAGAGTAAGAAAGAGGCAGCGGTATATCGCAGCATTCGCGCAACTTACTGCACGCCGAGCTTGGTCGCGACGCGGCGCCACGGCGAATAGCATCCGGTCTGCTTCTTGCTGTGTGCGTGCAAACACACGTATACATATGTGTGCGTGGCCAATTCTTTTCTTATATTTTGATTTTTTCGTAGCGGTCACGTGACGCGGGCAGAGAATTTGAGGTGCCATGTTTCTCATGGTACGAATACGAATCAACGGAACCACACACATTTATTTTACAATGCGTTGAAAATTGTTAACTTTCCATTCCTGCCTACGTGCTAAAAACGTCCTTGCGTATATTTATTAAATAAAAAGGTATTTTTGATTTAGAATGAAGTTATTGTAAAACTGAACCAAACGTGTTTGGTTAATCCTACGATCTATATATGTATAGTGACCCCAAAGTTGTTTTACATTTTTTTGCCTAAATAATAATTTGGTTGCATTAGCTTTTGTTATTATTTGTCGTTATTTTATTTCCAAGTTTTTGCTAAAACGACACCTCAAACTCTCGATAATTCCAATGATTTCGTTTATAAGAAGACATTGTTCAAAAATAAAACTAAAACGAGAAATTAAAAATACAGCTTACCAGAAACAAATAAGCCGACCAGCATTTGAAATACATAAAAACGAAACGAAAAAGTATAGACGAACCAAAAGTAAGAATCGGCAATGATACAAAGCAAAAACAAAATTCAGTGTAGATAATAAAATAACAGAGGTGTAAATATTAGAAACGTTTAATACAAATTGATTGACTTCACAGTGTCACATACTTGTGTATCTTCTTATAATTAAATCAAAAAACAGCCTCTCGACTGAGTTAAAGTTGACACCTAAACATACCTAGATCATTTACACACATTTCGAGTTTATTGTTTTATTTTGAATTAAAAAAACTGCTCACGCAAAATACATAAAAAACCTCGCACAATCGGCACGCAAAACAAATCCAAAATGCATCAGCGGGTAACTGCATGAACCATGGCATAACTTCGTTTCCTTCGCCATAAGATCTTTGCGACAATTAAAAAATAAAGCAGCAAAACATATGCCATACAAAATATATTTAAACTCTTTTACTACTCATCTTTTATTTACCACCAGTTATATAATATTTTTAAGTGTTATATTGAATTTAGATTTTATATTCCATTTTAATCGTGATAAATATTTTTTATTTTCATAAAAGGCACTTACCTATTAGAGTTTTGAGATTGGCCAGATACGGAACTGCGCTTACTACTTTTTCCACTATTGGCACTTAACGATTTCCCAACTGAAGTCTGAAAGAAAATAACAAAATAAATTATAAGTTTTTTATCGAAAGATGATTTGGAGTTGTCACAAATACTATTTTTAGCATTTTGAAATACTAGTTATTTAAAATAGAACATAATTTTCCTCAATTTACTAATCAATAATATCAATCGGAGAGAAAATGGGGATCCATAAAAATATTCTAGGAGATCTTTTCCTTTCCTATAAACCTGTTAACTTTAAAGTAATATTATATTTCAGTGACCATAAGATTCAATATTGTTTGGAGGCCCTTGGATACGCACCTTAGACGATTTTGGTTTATTGCATTCTACTATATAATCTTTGCATACATTTTGATGTACTGTCATGGTACAATCTGAAACGAAAACAATATTATCAATATGTAAATAATGAAAAGATAATTTGCGTTCAAGTTAATGATTGTTTATCGCGGTCAAGAAATATTTCTTCTCCTTTCTTTCAAGGTAAAAAAACATTTATTTTAAATTAAAACACGGGAATTCATTTGTAGTTAAGGTGTTAGCTTACATTCATTTGACAATATTGGAGAGTGTTATGAACTGGTAGGGGAAAGAAAAAAATGAATAATATTGTAGTAACTACATTATGTAGTTACACTAGTACACTTATTTTGGTGCCCATTATAAAATGCTCTACTTGTCCTTTAGACATGCGATAATGAGTAGGTATGTTTATACTATCTTTTTAACTCGGTTTATTTTGCAAGAGAGTAATGTCACAAGCAATGAAGTTTTTGTTTGTTGAAATACAACTACAGATTTGTTTCATAATTGACAATCAAAACTCACTATCACAATACAGCGATGGATTATCAGTAAGGGCGCGCCCACACCAATCACAGTCGCCACTGCTACCGGCCGCTTGCCATGCGTGCGATGCCTTGCGGGACTTGTCCTATACGAAATACAGAAATAAAATGAGACACTGTCTAATAAGGGAAAACATGATATTAAAATTGATCATGACGTTATATAAATATGGATATGACTCCTGTATCCGAATTTTTAAGCAAAATTTGAACAGCTGAAAAGAAAATGTTCAAATATATTTTTATATGGCATAGCCATATTATCATTGATCACTCGTTATAAGGGAAACTATTTACAAGATATCTTGGAAAATGTGTATACAATACAAATTTCTATTTAATCTCGAATTCACTAATACAGAAAAAGATCTCTTGTCCTATTACTACATTTCTCATTTGTAAAATAGTGATTTGTGGCGAAAAAGTAAATTAATATTGGATCCCACTATTCTTAAAGGTATTTCCATCTACAAGAAACCGTAGCATGGTCTCCGAAAAGAAAGAAATTTGTACGTTGACCTTTGTGTGCCTACTGATAGATACCGTAAACTTTTAGGTTTACGGTATCTGGTACTCATAGGTTAGATTCATCTGTGTGAGCGCAATAGCAATATGTTTGCGCACGAGTGAAAGAGATATGCAATGCCGGGTCATTGTACGAAATTCTTTCTGTTCAGCAACTGATTATGCTTTAGAAGCAATCTGTGGGCAAACTCCTCAACGAAAATTGAGTCCCATCTCTGAAAAATGCATTACATAAAATCTACTTGTATTACCTTCTTCTTCCTGAAGAATAAACTTCCCCGTTTCCGCCTCTTCTCTGCGTGATGATCAAATGCCGCTCTGTAGACAAAATATCTATCAATATAACAGTATTAAAGATTAATGTCTAAATTCCCCTATTTTTTCAAAGTTTTCAGATTAACCATGCATTCGAAGCTTAACACTAAAAATTACAACACACAAGCAAAGCCTTGTGCATACATGCTGAAAACATTAAAATATCATGTGCTTCATATTTTTTGTGATTCACGCTATAAATAAAAAAAAAGCAGTTCAAATCCTAAAAAATAAAAATAAAAGTGCTTTAATAAGAAATAGTGAATTACTATTGTAGTCAAAATATTTTGATTTTCAATTATCTGTTCATCTCTTATAAGTAAAAAAAAAAACTGTGTATTATAAAAATTACCTTACCACTTCATAATATAGTGTAAATCCCGACTCTCCTTCTCGTACTAAATGATACCCTTATAATAATATGTAAGAGTCCACTTACTGTTCTAGAAACGCCAAACGATGCAAGCCCAAATGTTCTTGGCGCGTATTATTCAGCCTTCTTCCTGGTATCTGGTTGATGGAACCTTCTGTTGGCACTGACAGATCTTCCTCGCTTTCCGTCTCGCTCGCACCCCCCGCAGAAACGCTAACATCGAGCGGGACGTACAATACTTAGGTGGAACCATTGTGATACGAGTTTCTTTTATTGTCAGATTTATTCGATTTCTTTATTTTTTTAATATTCATAATGCTTTCTCATCTAAACATTCAGAAGTATATGTAAACAACCGATATTTACGATTTATTAAGATCGACATGTTCCCACCTATTAGTGCAAATAATAATAATCCGGTTACAACCGGTTTTGAGTGTTGCAACTGGTAACTGAGCAAAAGCGAAACTGTGCAGACGAAAAATTAAACATTAAATTGGACATGCACAATACACATGCATAATTTCAATAAAACGGACACTTCAAAATCAGCACAAATATTCATTAAAATAATATAACTCCTTTAAATGAGTGTACATAAAGCAGCACATCAGGTTACCACAAAATATTAATTTTAAATAATTGTTTAACAACTTGTTTAGAAACTTTAAGATTTAAATTCAGATCATGAAAATTGATTTATCTAACCTGGTATGCCGTTGTTTTTAAGTCGAAAGTTCAAAAATTCAATTCACACTTTTAAAACGCTTATTTTTAAATTAAGTTTAAAAACATAATGTAAAATCCATAATTCTTAACAAAGATTTCAGTTTTAGAGAAATCCTAAATTGTATATATCGTGTACCTTATATGCAACATTTCTCCTGTTGATAAGATTATTCTGATGCTAATAGATTAGCATAAAACGTGACTATCATTTACAATGTCGAGAGCTGATTACATCGTTTGTGCTATATTTTGTGTTTGAAACTCACATGGCGATGGGTGGTTGCGGCTGCGGCGGCTGTACGGCGGCAACTATGCTGGGCGTGGAGACGGACTTCTGCAGCGGCAGGCGCGCGCACAGGCGGCCCCCCTCCGCGCCCGCGCCCCCCGCACCTCCCGCGCCCGCCCCGCCGCCGCCCCCGCCCCCGCAGCCGCCCGATACGCTCGTGCCCGCGCGCAGCGCCGCCGTCACCTTCTCGAAGTCCTTCTGTAGACACCATAATGCCTTCATTCGATACCTACACCGCGCGACCGCTACTATATCGACTAACGAAATTAGTGTACAAATGAGATACGAGGAGAGAGTAATGCAATATTTTTTGAGGTCCACATAACACCACATCGCCTTATACAAACTGTCAAATTCATTCTCAATCTCCAGCAGAAATTTGACGAATTGGCACAAAAATTATAATAAATTATGTCATTCGAACATAACATTACTTAAGCTTCTAATAAAAACCCATTCTCAGTTACTAGATTGCAATAATTCGTAGACTAACAAATACTTAATTGTGACCAACAAGTATTTTAAAATGTGGAAAAAAATATTGTATTTCTATTATCGTTTTTGTTTGTTTTGACATAAGAACCTATATTATACATGTTGTGTATATCTTTAAGAGGTTGCACAGTTACAATGAGACCCTTCAAAGTTTTAAAGTTTTATGTATGTATGTAGTACTGTGTCAACTATAGATTTATCTATAGTAAAAAAAAAACTCGAACGATCTTCAAGGCCCTTATGGGGTAGGCAGAGAACTACAAATTAAAAGAACCTGAAGTTTCCATTTCGATCAAATGCATACAGTTAATTCTGTCTGTTCACTTATATATTAAGATAAATTAAAACACCTGCTCTCTTAATAAAAATGTAACAACATAAGGTTTTCGATACATCTACGGAATAAGCCCTACCGTTTCAATAATTTCAATGAAAATAGTAACTTACCGCTAAGTCGTTGTCGTTAAGTGAATGTGTGGAATGTCTCACTGGACGCGGGACTTCACCCTCCGACTCCATAGACGACAGCGACGCACTGTGCCCATTTAACGTGCTGGAATAAAATTATAACATTGGAACTTTTCATAGACGGTGACCAAGAAATCCTGGTCATAAACGTCAGACCCCCTAAATGGAAGATATTTGTATTGGCAACAAAAGTTGATGTTCGTATACGTTGCGACAAAGAGATCTATCTCTGATGTCATAAGTTAGATTCCTGGAAAAATAAAATTTATGGCATCCCGTCATACTAAATCGTGTACTCCGAGATATTTTTATGAAAACTTTGGTATATGTCAAATATGTTAGGGTAAATCACTTTTATTTAACCATCCCAAGAAATAAGTAGAATAACAAGCTTAATAGTAAAAGGTTATGAGTTTTCGATCTCAGACCATCTGACTATTATGAATGTTAGAATAGGAATTTTCAAGCCACCACCAAATGAACCAAAAATCAGCACTCTTGAAGTCCAAAATGACATATTTTTTCTTAAGTTAGAGTTTATTAAATCCCCTGAAGTTAAATAGTTATAATACTGAAATAGTTAAAACTCACCTGCGTTGCCTGTGAGAATCGTGAAGTCTCGCTCCAGGTTCGAGCGCCGCCCAGGAACTCCGTCGGCCTTCGTCTCGCCGTTCCCATAAGCCCCATTGTCGGGACTCCCCTAAACAGAAGGTACTATTATTATAGCATAAAGCTTAAAAACAGAGCTGCTTTTAAAACTAAGCAAATTAGTTATTCCGTAACAAAATGTATAAGAGTTGAATATAAGAAAAGAGTGAGATGCTACAGCATAAAATTTTTATCCTAATACTACTAACCGCTCCCTTTTCTGCTTTGTGGGTAGAAGTCCAAATGCGTCGGGGAAGAGCACTCTGGTTCCGGCGCACCGTCTTTGCACAGCGACGGGCATGATGTACTTAGTCGATTGCTGCCTATTGCCTGTATGCATATATTAAAATTGTATTTTTATTCAACCAATACTAATAATATAGTTAGCAATAGAAAAAATAAGCCTCCACTTTGATCGGATACGGATAATCGCGCCCCAGTATGATATGGCAGTTTCAGCGAAGCATCCTGGATCAACAGCGTAATATTACAGTCGCCCATATAAAAACTGGTCTTTGTGAAAAAAAAATGACCTGCATAATCGTGACCAAACGCTAACTATGCTTTTAATTAATTTGCTTTTATAAGGAAGACAGAATTTCCAACATAGCAATTTATTTACATTTGGAGACACAGATAACGGGTCTCTGATCCTCAACTAACTAGAAAGTTAAACTAAAAAAAATCTTTATATTAGGCAGCAGGTATTAATAAAGTTAAACACAGAGCAAGAAAATATTACAGATTAAATTAACAAGGTCGATACGAGAATTAGTTAAAAGGAATACAATGAGTTCAACATTATAATCAAAAAGTAATATGTACTGAACGATTTACCAGTAAGGGTAACGGCGCTGCACGCATCCGCTGCACAGCCGCATGGAGTCTGCGCAGCTGTTGCAGACTGTCGTCCAGCACCCCCGGACTGTGCGGAGTCACACTGATAGTGGGAACCTGAAACTAAATACTCAATGAGTTATCATTTCACACAAAATTTAATAGATTCGCGATTCGAACGATCTTTGGACCAATGATACGATCACATAAAAGCATAAGCAAAATTTTAGATGATACATTTTTAGTGCTGATCTGGTGTAAATAGAAAGACACTACTACGACTATAGAACTGAATACGTCACTAGCCACGATATAAAACAGTTCTGGACCTGAAAAGCATTAGGTCGGATGTGCAGAACCAGCTAAAATCACTTATCGCCATAACGTTGCTACACTCTTTTTTCTCTTTCCGGCAAATTAACTCTTGTATGTTTGTGCCTTTTTACTCATGAGCAACAGTCATGCATAAAGTCGGATCAGACGACTTTTTCAAATATTTTGATTGCATTTAGCTATTTCTGTTTTTATACAGTTATGCCTAAGATTCCCGACATCCGACCTAATGCTTTTCAGGTCCAGAGTTCAGAAATGCTGAAGCAGAAAACTAGTCATTACTTCGATTCGTAATTGGCTGTTTTGAAAAGGCCGTGAACCTTTTGTGAGTTGGTTCCGTGATCCTGCCTACATGAAGGCACTAATCTCTAGAACTACCAATAAGCTTAATAACTATTTGAAATAGTAGGACCCTTAAGAGCCAAGCAACAACTGGTGAATGAACGTGACACAGCTAGTGGTAGATACATCACCTGTGCCCTGGCGGCGGCCATGTCTGTCGGCGGCGTGGAGCGGGTCACGTGCTCCGTCACCTCGTCTTCACTGCTGTCCGACTGAGAGGCGGAACTGCCGCCGCTCTCGTCTGAAACAATACCATATGACTATATTATTGCATTATCCAAAGATACCAAATCAACACGTAGAGATAGATAATCAAAATCCAGCTCAAGAAGTGTCATTATCTAAATGATCATTGGACAATAACATTTCAATTGCTGGAATTTGATGAGCGCACATTAGTCTAGTAACGTCCTCACTACTTCTCCACACGTGCCTTTCCTATACGTTTCTCAATGTCTATAGTAAAAAGACTGACGATTGTGAATGAATGTTAATGACTGTGGATGCAACTCGTACCAGTAACTTAACGTGCCTTACAAAGCAGAGAGGAAATAGAGATAATAAATTTTTGGTCACCCATCCGATGCTCGGACTTTGGAAAAGTTACTAACTTTTAACATAAACAGAACGTGCTAATCACAACATATAGAGGCGACAGGAAATCAAAGTAATATTTTAAAGTCTTTAGTGCGAATTTTCCTCCGTTAAATAACTTGATTGAAATCATGAAAATATTTAAATTGTTATGCTTAAACCAATCAACAAATTAATATTGTACACATAAGGATATTTGTCTCCAAAAAAATGACATGAAATAAAAAGTATTTTAAGAATGTAACAAAACAAATTCCAGTATAAAATAACACAAATAAAATTACTTGGGTAATTTGGAACTTTTTTAAATAAACAATCATATATTAAAGCTTGTTTGTTAAAACGGTATATGGAAGAATCAAACTTCATAGTTTTACCATTAACAATGCCTCCAGCTCATCGTAAATCGTTCTAGCTGTATAGTAAGCTATTCACACGGAAACGGATATTGGCGTACACTCGGACATCCCAGCGATAGAGCGCAACCAGGGTTGCCAACAATACTGTATAAACAGTATTATTATACTATTTCACTATGAAGGTAATACGATTTATTGTTCAAGAAAATACTTTTCATTGATACTGGTAGCCCAAAAATAAAATATAAACAAGTACATACACCGGGTGGTTGGTGGTGAACTAGTGGTGTTGATAATAATTTGAATAATGTTAATTTTCAGATAAATTGACCTTAATTCTGAAATGATTACCTACAGCAATAAACAAAATGTAACAAAAAGGTCTTACAGTTTTTTTTCTACAACCCTATATAGTCAAAACTCGTACCGACTACCTACACATAGCAGGTAGATATGGAATGTGACAAATATTTTGGCATGTTAATAAAGAAGTAACAAGCATCCTAGTAAAATATTTTAGTGCCGGTAAAATAATTAAAATTTTCAATTGGTTGAAAACCATATTACCCATACAAATTTGACAATCATTAGAGCTTAAAGACGTCATTAAACCTTAATGGCTGTTTGTGCAACGGGCCGATAGTGAGATTTAAGTTAAAATTTTATAGGTAATTGTTTGTGTATCTACTGTAAAACAACAAGGACAGTTGTTTAATATTTTTCGGTGTATGTACAATCATATAGTACAATAGAGAAACTTACTCTAGTTGCAGAAGTCACAGATAATATATAGACATTTTACTATTTCACCAACTTAAAAAAACAGCTTAGGATTACCGTGAATCGTTACAAACAAGGAAGCCTTACTAGGTGTATGTTACACGTATAAAAATAGGATCGTATGATATTGTAAATAATTTTGATGAGAGACTCATTATTCCACTATATCACATCGGTTTATCAATACATAGTCAAATTTAATTTATGCCCTAGGGAATCCAAATCTTCGATCAAAGATCGTTAATATGAGAATCACTAACCACTCGACAACAGGCAACAATCAATATAAATGTATAAAAATTAAGATAAGTGTTTATCTTTATTAATAATGAACACAGCACTGCGGCACTTCAGGTTCACTAGATTACACTAGATTTTGAACTGCCTCCCACGTATTTGGATTTACAATAAAATGCAGACATTTGATGATTTTGCATGACCTATATGGAACCTGCTGACTGTATAAAAGGAAATTATCAATAATATCGTTATCGATCTGAAATAACAAAGATTAAATCTATAAAATACCGCAAATCAGATATTAATCAACTGTGGTGATAATATAACTATATACAAGTTAAAAAAATATATATGTTTCGAAAACTGCTCTGTAATTCACGGAGAAGTCGATGAACATATATTTATAAAAATACATATTGAACTCTTCATCATCTCGATTTAGAAGTCTATTAAAAAGCGATTAATACATGTGACGTAATGTAATGAAACGACTTATACACATATTACTTGGGCTAAAGTATAGTTTGCGTTATAATGTGAACTTAAGTCCTATTGTAGAGTCAGAAGGTTGGCCCTATATGAGATCTGATAACTGTTATGTAGACTCAATCTTTACGTAAAATTGTTTTGGTGGAATTATTTGATTTTATGTCGATTATGTTTTTGATTTCTAACCTTCTAAGGTAAAGGTGTCAACTCCGCTGAGCTTTCCCTAGATGATTTCAACTCCGCTGAGCTTTCCCTAGATGTTTTTTTTTTTACCCATAACACAATAAATAGTAGATGTTAGATGTTAGTAGATTTCCGCAGAGAAATCTGCAAACTGCCTACAGTCAGACCTACGCAGGCGTCCTTGTGTCACGTGTTTACACCTTGTTTTCCAAATCGTCCGTGGTGTTGACATTATTAATTTAATTAATTAGCTTGGACCTGTTTGGACAGGCTGGGATTAATTATGACAATTTCTGTTGGAAATATACGATAACAGCAAATCACGAAATAATGAATGGGAGAGCTACAAAAAAAACCATAAACAGACTAAAGTTTGAATGTAACAATGCCCCATAATATGACGTCTGTCTACTGCCTTAATTATTTTCACAAATAAACGGAAAAATCATTAAAGGGTTTTGTGTAAATTCGCTAAATGTGTAAACTCAACAGTTCACTGGATGTAAATTGCACCTGCGCGAAGCTGACACAGACCCTCAGTTATTATTAAATACGAGCCAGACCTTTTTAGTGTAGCCTTTTTAATACATATACATTTTACATTTAGTTTTAAGTGTTCCTATAAAAAAATATCCTCTTTCAAATATTAGTAAGTATATATTACTATTGATTTTTAGGTATACACGACACAGAAATAAATCTTTTGGAACTTCTGGAAACGTCATTTATTGCTCTGTGCTTGAAATCATAAACAGGGATAGTGCTTTAAGTATTTCTATAAGATCACTTATTTTTACAGTTCATGTTTATGATAAAAAGATAAGGCTCAAAAAACAAACAAGGTCTATTTAATCGATATATCAAACATTATACTAGAATGTTTCCTTTATTTCCCTATCTCGGAACAAATGAAAATCGATCTATAAAACATAAAATGCGTAATAAAAACATGACATATAATTTTACAGACGAGCAGAGGTTTAGCTATACCTACTATACACACCCTCAAGTGACCCAGTTAATGTTACGGGTCAAGGGTACAGCAGCCGATACAGGACTCAACCCCTAACGTTGTATGTTTAGATGGTAAACCATATAAACATTGTTAGGCCAATAGCAAATTCATATCATTTCGCATTTAATAATATAATAATAGTTAAAGATGTCCTGACATACTGACTGACAGACAACGCACAGACTAAACCGCTGGTCGTTGAGACTTGAAATTTGCAGGGTACATTCATCTGAATCATTCAACATCATACATTCATCTATATTCTTAGTCTATTTACGTACACCTCTACGTAATAAGATATTACGTAGAGGTGTACGTATTTTTGTAAATTCCACCAAGAAGGGGGTCAAAAAGGATGAAAACGTTTATGTGATACTTCTTTGTTTTTTGACCTGTTATCCATGAAAACTGGTATTTGGGTTAAATAGTCTTATTAAATAATAAAAAAAATAGCAATCATTGTTTACAATTTGATTTGTCATTTTAAAAAATCTATCTAATTTAAGTGATCTATATTCTTAGTCTATTTATTTCGATAACTGTATGTCTAGTAATCTCTAATGAGCGACAATTCATATATACATGTGATAATAGGTCTGCGAATACATGTCAGTTACGCTCTCACACCTAAACCACTAAACAGAGTTTACTTGACATAGGTTGCTTTTTATTGTGATAAAAGGATTGAAATAAGGAATTAAAGTTTGTGCGGAAGTTCGTCATTTTCATAGATAAAATCATGAAACTTTATTTACACTGTATTATGAATAAATATAAGTTTTAAAAATACTAACTAAAATAACTAGAACACGCGGACGAAATCGCGGGCAAAAGCTGGTTGTATAAATTTATTGATACGACAAAGTTAAATATAGCATCTGTTGCCGAACTATAATTTAGTTTTGTATATCGGCATAGAACACCTATTCTATAGTATTTAAAATACTAGGTAAATTAGTAATTAAAAAATATAATAAAAATATTAGTAACAATTATTGACAAACTAAATTGAAGAAAAAAACCAGAACAATTTTTATTGAATATAATATTGAATTTGTTCATTGTTTAACGTTAATCATAAGTTCATTAACAAAAGTATCAAAGAATAAACCTTTCATTAACATTGAACTCTCGTCTGAGTTGGCGACAATATCTAATCTAAGATTAATATTATTTCGGCTTGATTTTAAACCTTAATTAAATTGACGGTAGACCTCAAAATCATCAGCAGAAATTTGACATATTATTGTAAACTCTCTTCGTTCTTTTGACTGTAAATTATAATTTTCAAATTTTAATATTGTTTCGTAATTACTTACGTGCATGGGTCAAGATCTCTTGTTTTTATTACAGATATAATTATGTTATATATATATTATAGCGGAGAGTTGTATGCAACACTTATAATAACCATAACGGTTTGCTAATTATTAATTAAAAATAATAATTTATTACACACATTTAGCCATCTTCTGTCCCTATGTATCTCGTTACTGCAATTTGATAGACAGGGAGTCTTTTGTCTTTACGCCTCGCCTGAATGTATATTCCCGCTATTCCAATAGAACAGTTCACTGATACCGAATTTCTGTAAACGTGAACAAGGACCTTCACAAGTTACACAGTCCATTCATCAGTAGAGTCCTGATACCGAAGTTAGAGGGTTGTGATGTACCTTACGAGATTACTTTGTTCTGTTAAAACTGATAACTGATCATAAATTCCCTGGTCTATAAATTCTTTTCATACCCTTAAAACTGTTGGATGGACGGTTATAATACTTAGTTATTGTATATATTTCTCCAAAAAAGTAAAGCCAATAAATTCAATGAGAGTATTTTATTTAAATCGAATTCCCATCAGCACCAGTTTGTCTAAAGAATTTCGTAAGTTTTATGGAACAAGGCTAACTATGTGTTGTTCCCATAATCTCATATCTCAAGAGTTATCTGATATCTGAATAACTTTCCCACAAGAAAATGACGCGTATATTGCTTTACGAGCATGTTTCTTTTTAATCGAATAAAAAATTTACACACTTGCAAGCAATTGATATGTTACAAAATATTTGAATTTCAGGATTTTATAACGTTCGGTATACTCCCATACTTGAAATATAAAACTCGATAATTAAAAAGATAATACCTAGACAGTCCGCCTTCTTAGGGAAAGAAAAAGAAAATTATTTAAAAAATTGGAAACAAATCTCTCTACGTCTCTACATAGTGATGAGGGTTTTCAAATATTGTATACTCGGTGTTTGGGATCTATTGATTCACCTGCAAACATTTGCCACAAAGTCTATAAACATGTTATATATCTTCCTTGAAACCGACCCTGTTCCAAATTATTTGGGCGAATAGCGAGCGTACAAGCAATTTAGGTTGCGCGCATAATAATGTGTTATGTTTACATTGACAATCAAAATTATTTGGATTAATATAAAAGGCATCTTGTTCGGTTATGATAGTTGATTATTTAACGAATCACTATCATTATACATATTGAAGTAGGTCCATCGTCAAATATATAGAAAGAAATTTATATCAAACACCAAAATAATACTTTTAATGTATATTCAATTAATAATACACAATGCCGCATATATTGCTCCGATAACACAATAGACCCGAAAAAAATTTATCGATCCTTGGACCACAGAGATGGTGATTTCTTAAACCGACGACGTGCGAGCCACTCGACAAAGGCTGGAGGTCGTCACAAAATAATGTGAACGTTAAACATCAAAATGCATTATGTATGCACATCTAGTAATTGTTGTTTAATGTCTAGTGAAGTATAAAGATCATATTACTAGTGGTGATCGAATCCTTATAATGATTAAACCAAACAGACATATGTTGCTAAATTCTTATATAAATCCTAGTTTAATAATTAAAAGATCACATCCATATAAACTATGAAATAAACAGCAGAGCTTAAAATTAAATGGTCAATAACATTTTGAATAACTTTCAGTATAGTGAACTCTTCTTTAGAAGGTAATTACACTTTCTGACCTTGAGGCACTCAACGAGCGACTCTTACAAACTTGCTTTTTATAAGGCTTCGACATCTTTCGAAACGAGACACCTGCAAATCAATCATCAAACGAATCAAACACAACAACAATAGAAAGTAAAGTTATCTAAGCACCTTTTTGTCGACCACTCGATTCTGACTTGTCGACGACTCTTCGACTTCTAACGAATTAAAACGCGAAAAAAGCTGAAGAACGTTCATAAACGGCTTAAAAGTAAATTCGGCATGTCTAATTCGGCGATTTGCGAACGTTCGCTTTATCTGATGTAGTTTCACGACTTCTCTACGGTAATTTAGTACTGCATTAATTAAGGATGATATATAATTGCTATATGTTTTAAATAGAAATAATACTTAGTTTTGCGACAAGCTATCAAGGAATTGTTGTTGAAAAGTCTTGTATAGTTAAATTAATATTGAAAATGCAAACATTAATTTATTTTACATCACGCTGTTTGCCCGGGACTTCGCCCGCGTATGTTGTAGCTTCCAGTAAGTGAAAGAATCTTTTAAATCCGTCCAATAGTTTTAGACCCTATGCAATACAAAAAAAAACAAACTAATATAAAATAACATATTTCCTCTTTATAATGGTAGTATAGAACACAGCCGTTTTAATATTCTGCTTGAACTTTAATTTTTTGTCAAATACAGTATTCCCGATAATCTACAATAATGCTTTACAACACGTATGAAGCTGTGTAGGTTATAATAGTTCAGTAGATAATTCTTGTGAAAATAATTATTATTGCAAAACATCTGTCGAATCTGAAAAACTGGTGACAATATCTTTTATTGTTAGATAAAATAAGAACTATTTTAAAGAAAAGCCTATTCATAACCCCATGTTGGGCGCCAACCATTTACGACTACAATAGAACCTTTATTAGTCATGTTAATGTAAAAATAGGATTAATTCTATATTTAAATCTTACACACGTTATTGATCGTTAACGCTCCTCATTCAGCTGCCATTGAAATTGATCGCAAAATTTAATTTTAAGACATTACCTGCTTAAAAGTTTATATTAGATTGTCAAAAATATTAAATTTATGAAACCTTTTTAAATATCACATTACGTAACACGATACCGGATGAATAAACGGGAATGGGACGCAACAAGTAAAGAGGAGATGTATAACTTATAAACCTACCTGGCTTCCCGAAACAGCTACATTTTCGATACAATACGCCTAGATTGTAGGAATCTTCTTTGCCAAAGAACACTCACATATTATAAATTTAGATTAAGCTAATCATAGTCGTTAAATATTTTTTAATTTTAAATATATACTATATAAAATTTATTTTACACTTTAAAATAAAGAATTTCGCGACCTGTTAAACTATCGTCTCAGCATTTTTATGATGTGATTTTTGTTTTCATTATTTTGTTTTTTTTTTGTTACACGTCGCGTGCTAAATTCGCAAAAACCGAGTAATATTTTGACGGGCCGATTTGTATGGGAGCTGCCTTGCCTTTGTACAGGCTACGCGGAATACGCATGCGCGACATCGATCCAAAAGCGAAACCTTCCACGAAGATTGAACTGTTCGGAGCCTTCAGTATACTGGCAGAGACCGGTGCAAATGAATGTCGCATACTATTGCTATGCATGTCAACAACATCGCTCAAATCTTGCAATGTATGTATGAATCATAAATTATTTATTAATAAAATGAAAAGGACTTTTCGGACTTATATTTTTAACAAAATCATGGCATTTATTTGCATTGCAAAATATAAACTAAAACACATTTTTTTGATACATAGACAAATCCATACAATAACAAATAACCCAAAACAAGTAACTACTTGCCCGGATTTTGTTCAAATACTATTAAAATATATCTCAACGGTAAAAATTGCCAATAGCATTAAAATATGCACATCTAACATAAATGGGAGTCTAATCAATGCTATTAAAAAGTACTTTGTTCTTAAATAATTCAATAAGTAAAAAGCTTTTATTCAATTATAGAAACTGATAGATAACGAAGTTGGCAATTTTATGACAGCGGCCGAAAAAGGAATGTAGCGAGAAGAAGCTGCGGGGTAGATTTTTAAATTTGCGTTACAATACTGATTTGAATAAACTGTCATGAGTACCATAAAAGATCCGCAAGTAGAAAATAACCCTTACTGGATCGTGTACGTGTCTATCTATCGGTTCATTAGATTTGAAAATGATCACATTCGGG